GAGTTTTGGGACAGGGATTTAGCTCAGTGGTTCTGCCACATGCCTTGCAAGCACAAAAACTCGAGTTTGATCCCTGGTACCAAAAAAATAAATAAATAAAAATAAAAAATAAGGAGTTTTAACACTCTTTCTGCACTAGCCAGAGAACAGAAGGAAATGAAGGATTTAAGTATTTAAAATAAAGAGCCTTGTCAACTCCACCAAAAGACTTTTAGAGCTGATAACTGAATTCAGCAATGTAATAGGCTATAAAAATCAACATAAAAAATTAACAGTTTTACTATACATCAATAGTGGACTAGCTGATAAAAAAATCAGGAAAACAGTTCTATTTGCAATATCTTTTTTAAAAGGTCAAAGGAAGGACCAGAAATGTAGCTCAGTGGCACAGTGCCTCCCTGGCAAGAGCAAGGTCCTGGCTTCAATCTCTGCTACCAAAAAATTAATAAATAAATATGCCAAGGGATCGATCTAATAAAGGAGATGAAAGCCCTCTACAAGAAAATATTACAACACTAAAGAAGAAATTGAAGACACCAAAAGATGGAAAGAATTCCCATGTTCATGGATTAGCAGAATTAATACCAAAAGCAACCTACGGTTTCAATGCAATCCCCATCAAAATAGTAATGACTTTCTTCACAGAACTAGAAAAAAAATCCAAAAATTCAAATGAAACATGAAACACCCATCATAGCCAATCCTAAGCAGAAAGAGCAAGACTGGAGGCATCACAATACCTAATTTTAATTTCTACCTCATAACCATATTAACAAAAACAACATGATACTGGCACAAAAGTAGACATAAAAACCAAGAGAACAGAATAGAAGACACAGAAACATACCCAAACAGTGAGAGCCTTCTGATTCTGTACAAAGAGCTAAAATTATACACTGGAGAAAAGACAACTTTTTTTTTTGTTTTGTTTTTTAGTACTGGAAATTGAGCCTAGGGCCTGTATACTGAGATACATCCCCAGCCCTGTTTTATTTTTTATTTTGATACAAGATCTTGCTAAGTTGCCCAGGCTGGGCTGAAACTTGCAATTCTCCTGTCTCAGCATACTAAAGGGCTAAGATTACAGGAGTGCACTACCATGTGTGGCTAAGAGAGAGCATCCTTAACAAATGGTGCTGGAAAAACTGCATATCCACTTTTAGACAACTGAAATTCTATCTCTATCTCTCATCCTGCACAAAAATCAATTGAAAATAGATACAAGACATAGGTATAATAAGATCTGAAACTTTGAAACTGCCAAAACAAAACAGGGGAAACACTTGAAGCCACAGGCACAGGCAAGTACTTCCTGAATAGGACTCCAACAGGACAAGAAATAATCACAAGAATCAACAAATTGGACTACATAAAATTAAAGTTTCTGCACAGCCAGGGCAACAATTAATGGAGTGAAGAGGCAGCCTACAGAACAGGAGAAAATCTTTACCAGCTACTCTTTCAACAGAGGGCTGATATCTAGACTATGTAAAGAACCCAAAAACCTTAAGATCAAAAAATCAAATAGTCTAATCAATAAATGGGCAAATGAATTGAGCAGATACTTCTCAAAATAAGAAGTACAAATTGCAATAAATATATGAAAAGGTGTTCAACATTCTGTCATTAAGGAAATGAAAATCAAAAATACATTGAGATTCAATCTCACTCCAATCAGAACGGCTATCAGTAATACAAAAAACAAATATGCTGTTAAGGATGCAGGGGAAAAAAGAAATCTACACAGCTGGTAGAAATGTAAATTATTAAAACCATTATGGGTTTCTCAACTAAAACTAAAGCTACCCTTTGACCCTGCTATGCCACTCCTTCATATATACTGGTAGCAATTAAAATTGGCATACTAAAGGGATACCTGCATACCAATGTTTATTGAAGCACAATTCACAATAGCCAAGATATGGAACCAATCTAGGTGCCTATCAATAAATGAACAGATAAATAAAATGTAGCATATATACCCAATGTGGTATTATTCAGCCACAAGTAAAGACAAAATTCTGTCATCTGTATGAAAATGGGTGGATCTGGAGACCACTGTGTTCAGCAAAATAAACCAAACTCAAATAAACATCATATGTTCTTCATAATATGTAAAATCTGAAAAAGATGACAAGAACAGAAAAAGGAGATTATTATTAGACAAGAGGAAGGGAGTGTAGAGTGGGTAATAAAGGGAATAAATATGAGCAAAATACATTACAGGCATTGAAACCTCTCCCAAAATGTGAAACTAGTGGAGGAGAGTGGGGATACAAGGATGACAGGGGATGAAAATGACGAAAGTATGCCATGTACTTATACAAATCGCCAAAAGGAAACCGATTAATCCATTAATTTCTTTAAAAGAGTGAAAAAATAAGATTGTTAGGTGGGTGATAGACTGTATCCATTTAAGGTATGTTTTTACTGATTCATAATAGAAAATTTAGAAAATGTAAAGAATACTACTCAAAATTTTCAACCTAAAATAAATTACTCTTTGTATTTTTATATATTTCCTTTTAAACTTTTGTTCAGATGTACATATTTCTATAAAAAATGGTAACATACTGCATATTTTTAAAATTTTATTTAGCAGGTCATAAAAATGCTCGTTGACTATGAGAAGCAATTATGTACTATTTCATCATAAAGACAGTTGTTATTGTATGGAGTTATGGTAAGGCATAAGTTTTTGACAGAGGTAACAGATATAAAAGCAGAGTTCCTGCATGGAGATGTTTCCCATGAACAATCCTAGAATTCAGACATAAGCAGTCCAGAACTGGGCAACTCCACCATGTCAGAAACCACACAGCCAATTCTGGGCTGGATAACAACTCCACCATTCCCAAGCAATTGCCTCAGGTCCAGGATGGGCAATCAATACACTGGTATTCTAACCCATGGGCAAAAAAAGAGAAGAAATGGGAAAGGATGTCATGCTCTAAAGGCGAATCTAGAAATCATATATCACCTCTACTAACTCTATCAACAGAACTTGATCATGTGGCAATACAGCACTTGCTTATAAAATGAAGCTATAAAATATAATTTAGCTGCCATAATTCTGGACAGCTAAGAATCTGATTACTGTGGAAGAGAGGAGAAAGAACAAACATTGGGGGGCCCATGAAGACTTCTGCTACTCATTTAGAGTTCTTGTATACATTACTCTCAGTAATTTATCTCTTGATCTTAAGATTCTAACATGACAACAGGACACACACTTGGGTAAATACCAAATAGTTTCTCTGGTGTGAAAAACTAAAAGTGTAAATATGGTTCAAATGGTATAATTGATAGTGTGAAATAGGAAGAAAATTGTTAAAGGGGAGGTGGAAAGGGGAGGGGAAGGGAAATAAAGGAAAAGAAAAAAATGTGGGAAAAAAATGGAAACAAAGTCTTTGTAAATAGGGAAGGATGAAGGGGGTGAAGGGAGGGCAAGGGAATGGGGAAAAAGTAAGAACCAAGACATATCATGTAAAAGTACAAGATCCCAATGATACATGTAACTGTATTGTTTGCTTTAATCATACCAATAAACTTAATGGGGAAAAAATTGAAAAAAGATTCTAACATGACAAGTTTCATACTATAAAATGTTGGTTCAGAAAGCTTTTATGAATATTGAATTTATGAATACTGAATATTGCAGTCAAGATTCTAGAGGCCAGAACAGAAAAGGTCAGGCAATTTGTAAACTTTTAAGACTTATTTATTTTGAGATGTGAGATTCTATAAGCATTTTATAAAAATTACATAAGCAGTTTTTAAATTACATAACTTTAATTAATTTTCCACTCCCATTTCTAAATTTGTTAACATCCCATTTTCATACTCTTGTTCCTCTGTAGCCATAGTCCTATTATTGTCCCAGTCCCAGAAATTGTTCTCTTGGAGGACTGTGCTGTGCATAAATGCAGAAACCAATGAAATAAGTTCATCAAAGTCAAGCACTCCTACTACCAGTCCAATGGCTGCTCTTGGCTTTCCAATGAATTCTGTATCATATGGCAAGATACAGTACTCTATAAAATTTTACTCTATGATGCCAACTTCAGTATTTGGAACTTGCCTTCAACCTTAAACTATCTCTGTATTTCAAGGTCCATGGAATTATTTTGGGTTTGGCTTCATCATTATTCATCACATCCCTCCACTTATAAAATCTGACCCTTTCTCCTTTCCGTATCTAGCCTAGAAATTCAATGCTAGGTTTCTTAGCAGTAATAGCTCATTTATTCTCACTCAATAAATATGAAGACCTTTTGCCTGTCTTTTTTCACAATGTATACGTATTTCTTTTTAATGTTTCTTTCTTCTTTTTTTTCTTTGTAGCCTTTATTTCTCTTTTCTTTCTGCACCCCCCCTTGCTAAACTGTAAGCCAGTCTACTGGCTTTCAATAACCACTTACCTATTGCTGACCCCTTAGTCAGGGCTCTCTAGTTAAAATGAAAACAATTTAAGTAATGTGCACCATGATGTATTCCTTAATTTGAGGGAACCTCCCATTAAATGCACTTCGGTAGCTAATGGAGCAATGTGGTGACTTCTATTAGCCAGGAATACAATGGCTATATCAGTCCTGGTAGACCTTTTAGAAAAGGGTACCCAAACTGTAACCCCAACCCCACTTATTTATCAAAAAGTGCCAACACTGCCATTAAACCTGAATACTGAGGTTTTAGTTTAGAAAAAAACAACTCATACATTAACATTTTTTTTGTCTCAAAACAAAAACAACACACATGCCATAGGTTCGCCACCACTGGGCTATAGCAAATACATAAGCAATGCCTCAAAAAAGTTCCTTACAGGACATACTTGTTTTAAAATATTAGCAAAAACTGCAGAATTATCTGAAACATAAGCATGCAAAAGCCTAGAATGTCAGATAAGGGGTCACAAAGATAAATTCTTCAATCATTGGGAAAACCACTAACATAAAATCTTGCTCTCAAATCATGAGATGAGCCCAGCCAATGTTAACTAAATGAAATTCCACTACTTTTTGAAACAGAGAATCTTCTTTGCTTTTGTTTTCAGTTGAGGATGTGTGAGAATGATGAGAACAGAATGTCCTGGAGGATAAAGAGAGGAAGTAATCACACAAATGGCTCTGACTCCAGGGTCCATTCTTGTATATGAAGGAAGATAACAGAGCAGAGTAGCAGCTGAATATGGAACATAGAAGATAAGGAAAAAGATCATCAGCTTCATAGCGCCTACGTGAGCTTCAGTTTGGGGATTCCAAATGCCAGTGGAGTTTCTCTCCATCCTCTGTACATGTCTCCTCAAGGAATGTATTAACAGAGATGCAGAAGTCACATTAAGGATAAACTGGAATAATGTGCTCAAGACTAAAGAGACCAACAAAGTCAAAATGCCTTCATTCAAGTCAAATAATGTGCCATTTCTCCCAGTCACAAATTTAGGGAAATGTGTTATCTGTCTGAGCACAAAATATAGGAGGGTGGTGATGGCAGAAATCAACATACAAGTCAGGAGAAGTCTGGTGATCTTTTGGGAAATAATCCGTTTCAGCAGGAGAAACACTGAGTTTTGGAAATTAGTAATCTTCACACAATATAAGCAGTTGAGCAAGGTCACAAACCAGAGACTGCTGGAGTCCAAAAACCTCCAAAACAACACAAAAAATGTGGAAAGGTAGACTGATCTTTCAGACTTTGAAGCAATGAAGTAGAAAAGGTTCAGTAGAAACAATCCCAGCATAAGAAACCTGCTGATGCACAAACTGAATAGTATCTTCTCAGAAGAAGAGATTCTATGACTTTTTACCCAGGTCTTATAAATGACCACTGTAATAAGCAGATTCATAATCATCCCTACAAAATTTAAAACAACTGAGGTAATAATAAAAAATAAGTAGACCACCTGAAGCATCTTCACTCATGGGGGATTCAGCAGTGGTCGTGTTGATGCTGGACCGGGAGAAATACTGAAATGTATAAGCAGGCACCAGTATCCAGCTAGGAAGCATGTCTCCTTTTGTATTTCTCCTCCACATGGCAAATAAGCCATGTGTGTTCTAAAAGCCAGCTGCTTTTACTGAGATGCAAATCTTCCAGGGATTGCATTACTGTTTCTTCATTCCTATTTCTTTTTACTTAGAAATGCCTGGTTACCATTGAACAAGCCTGGATGAACCTGGGAGTCTATTCTTCCCAAGAGCAGAGTGGGTAAAGCGAGTCATGGGAGGCTCCAAGAACTTCAAATCACAAAGCTCTAATCCAATATTGTGTCTGTTGCTGTTCTATAATAGCATAGAATATGGTGGAATCACAGAATATGGTGGAATTCCTCATGCCGCTCCTACCCACCCATTTTCCATTTACATATCCATAGATGACTTCTGTCTCCTTTGTAATTTGTTGATGCTGCAGCCATTTTCTCTAATTTTCATTCTGGCCATGCCAATGCCTCTTCTTTATCCCTTAGTACCTTCAGTGATTTATAATTATCTAGGACCTGATTCCATCTCACTTAATCTAATCCTTTCATGATAATTTCTTTGCATTTCTTCAGTAGCTATATACATAAACTGTACTATATTGTGTTGTTTTACACAGCAAAAGCAAAGGCCTTTCATATGTCTCCTTTATAAATCTATATCTATGCTTATATCACATGTGACTATTTTTCCTTAAACTCTATCAGTCAAAGTACTCTAGTAAAAGATACATATGCCTTAGTTATAATTTTTGGGACCAAACATCTGTAGTTTCATTACCTAATTTCTTTGTAATTGCTCAGATAGTAAAGGGTACAATATGTCTAGCAAATGATATTACGGAGAACCACAAATAAGTGCAAGAATGAGTATGGCCTCTCATCTATTCAAGAAGGTAGAAACCAAGCACCTTAAAACCAAGGTGCAATCCTGGATATGGCCAAATACATTTTTCAAAGTGACATCAAGATGAAGCACAATATATGAATAGACAGGAAGGAGCTAACATATGACAAAGAGGTCCCAAAGAAGACCTTTCAGACAAGATGGCAAGCCTGGGGGAAAAAACCTTAAGCTAGAGCTTAGGGGCTTACAGAAGATTTTTATATAAAACTAATGCTCAGGTCAGTTAAACAGGTAAACAGAATGAAATAAATAAATGGGGCCATCATTATCTGAGAAGCATTTTTTTTATGGCTGCCATAAAAGGAACTTAGTACTCTAATGGACATCTGGAAGGTCTCATGAACTACTGTCGTAAATTATATTGACTCATATGTTAAAGCTCCAACAATATACAAAAGAATAGATGTGTCTGGAGAAAACATGGGTTTTAGGATGTAACTGGACTCCAAATCCAAAGACAATTCATATGCTCATACTTTGCTTCAAGGTAGAATCTTAAAGGATTACCTAGCACAGTGCACAATGCTTGTAATTCTAGCTATTTAGTAAACTGAGGCAGGAAGATTGTAAATTCCAGCCCAGCAAAGGCAAATTAGTGAGATTTCAAAATAAATAAATAAATAAAATGAGGGCTGGAAAATGTATCTCAGGGAATAGGCTCAATCACACATACCTGGATACCTGGGGGGGTGGGGTACAAATCTTAAGGGGTTTACAAATGGAAACTAATTAATTGAAAGTAAAGATGGTATTGTTAAGACTTCTAAAAACCGGGCCTAAGACACGATCTTCCCCTGGGATCAGTGAGGAGCTTGCAGATTAGCCATGTCCCCTGATGGATTGAAAAGACCAAATCCTTTCCAAAATAGCTAGACTTCTCATCATTATGCCTCTAGCAACAGATAAACTCCTTGCCTCAGCAACTCATCCACCACCAGGCCCAAATCCCCACTCCCACACCCAACTTTCAGTCCACACACAGCTGAAGTCAGGTAATTAGATCTGATTATATTTCCTGGAGGTCACCTCCAAACTTCTCTGAAGCTGGGAATCTGGAATTGAGAGGGCACACCACATTTTGTCTCTAGGACCAAATGAGTTTTCATATCAGACTCCCTCAGAGAAAATTCTGCACCTTGCACTAACACTTCAGGAGCTAGTGAAATGAGCAGTAGATAGCTAATGATAGGCTAAATCAAACCTCTAGTGAAGTTTTATGTTTGTTTGATGAGAGGAAAATCCTAACACTTAAATCATTAGGCAGAATTGGGAGCTCAGGTTACGTTTAAAGAACCGAAAGGTCAGAGGTAGGAAGAGAAGTTGTCAAAATAACAAAAAGCAGGAAGAAGTTCCAGAGTGGGTGAGGGAGGCTGAGGTACAGAGCATGGGGTCAGGATGGACAAAGCAGATGTTGATCAAGACAACATGGATTTCCACAGTGAAACTTCCATGCTGAAAATTAGCAAAGATTTTTAATTAATTACAGAACTATGAGGTGGAGAGAAATACCAGTTATAGGATTCCTTTTACTTTTGAATTATAAATGAATCTTAATTATTCTTTAGTTTTCAGCAGTTAGTTTTTCTACAGGAAACTTTAAATTGAGTCAAAAATTAGGAATTTTCCTAGCAGCTTCAAGAGGCAAGCATCAACTTAAAAGACAACCAAAACACATTTGTACATTCCTATAATTTTAAAAATAAATGTTTATATCCCAGAAAAAAATCTAAAATTAATCTGGTTACATGAGACTAAATGTCAAGTAACAAGATGATCCTCCATGCTAGGTCAAAATACACCTCCCTTCACAAAACAACAAATACCAACAATCACTGTAATATTTATTGCTTATTCCATGTAGTATTCTAAGCATTATTCACATGCTAATTCATTCATTCCTTTTAACACCACTATACAAACAGGGTTACTAGTTCCACTTTACAAATTAGGAAAGCAACATCTAGAGATGGTAAGAACCTTCCTCAAGATTATGCAGTACGTAAGGGCCAGGACCAGAATTTTGAGCCTAGGCTGTTTGGATTTCAGGTCTATATTCTCAATTATAACTCCTGACACTTTAAAGTACTGCTGGCAAACATATGGAACACATACAGCGGCCAGCTGTTTGTTATCACTGAAAGCTCTAAAAGGTTCGCTATCACTGTTGAAAGCCACATTAGTCCTAGAAATTCACATTCAAAAGTGCTGTGTCTCTGTCACACTGAATGCGTTCAAAAGTTTAAAAACAATCATCTCATTGACCTGCAAAATTGTACAATGACAGGAAGTAAATCAATGCCTATGTATTTCTATTTAAAGAGTATCAATTAAGCTACAAACTACATATATTACAGGTGCTAAAACTGTAATTTCAAAAACAGATATGCATCTTGGTAGAAAGATAGGAGGGAGGAGAGATAAGAGGACAAACAGGCATATTTACTCTCTTGTCCAATCTAAAAATTTTTTTAAATCCTTTGGAAATTTACTTTAATAAAAAGATAATGAAATACCAGGGTCTTCATTTTCATCCCACTGCTTTCTTCATCCAATAATTGTTTTGTGAAGATTGCTATCTTGTGGCAATTGTTGTTGCTGCACAATCACTGTTAGTTGAAATAACAGCCTTCACTTAATTCAGCACTTGATACAACACACTGTGCTAAAATGATGGCACACATTGTTTTATGAATTTCTAATATGCTGCAAAGTTAATTTTATATTCCACATTTTAAAGTGAGAAAAGTCACCATCAGACAAGTAACTCATCTAAGGCCAAAAATCTTTAAAAGTTGACAATAACCAGAATTCAAATGTACATCTACATAACTGCAAAGCTTTTGATCTTTTCCTGAAGTCCACAACTCTATTTACATCAGTATTAAATTTGAAACTAATATACAGACTCATTATGTTAAGCTGATGGTTATTAAAATACAGCTCCAGATCTGTATTGTGAGCATTCTTACTACACTGACATTTCCCAAGACGGTTTTACTACTCCAAAACAATGCTTTAGAGAAAAGCTGTGGGAAATGGTACTTTTGCCTACAACTAGGTAGGACCAAGGGTGAAGAGGGCAATGTCTCTCTGCTATTGATGGGACAGAACTGGTGCCATGGGAGGAGCAGCAAGAGCCCTTAGTCTTGAGCCAGGCCAGGACTCCAGGGCTCCATCCCATGTCCTCTGCTAGTCTATGGGGAAAAGGATTCTGTAGATCCAGGATGCAGATGACCAGACTTACACGGCAACATTGCCAAAAATGACTGTTTCAGCTTTTTGTTGCCCAGAATTAGAATAAATGAGTGGGCAGCAGGATTCAACATTGTAATTACCTCACCAATCATCACAGACATCTTACGTTGGGGTACAAAACGACTGAATGAAAAAATTAAAAAGGAAATAAAGTAAAATAGGAAGAATAAGAGGAAGGAGAGGATGATTCTGATGGCCCTCTTGTGAGTCTCAGTGCCTCTATCTCTGGAATTGATGCCATTTTGCTCCATCTGTCGCATGTGCTTCCCTAAAGAGAAGAGGAGTAGAAAGTAGGAGATCAGACACACAACTAAGGGAGGGAGATTCCACAGAGTCCCAAGAACATGCATCAGATCATATTCATGTCTCTTCTCCCTGAAGTATTCAGTCATGTTTCCTTTGCTGTCAATTCCACTGAAGGAAAAATAGAGCTTAAATTCATTGATCAGAGACATGGTACGGACACAGGATAAGAGCAGTGCACTCAATAGCATCCATACAACCACCTTGGAAACTCTCCACTTTAGCCAGAGAAATATGGGGTGGGAGTAGTTGGCAATTTTCAAGCAATAGAGGACACCAAGGCAAGTGATAAACCAAATGTTCAGGTTGTTTACAAATGTCCAGAAAATATCAATAATTCGCATTAGTGTCCCCGAAACATGCAAGTGGAAAAAGAAAACTATTAAAACACCATCAATGAAGATAATCCATAACAAAATGATCCTGGAGAGGGCCAGGATGGTGATGACAAAGTCAGACAAAGAGATTCTCTTGCTCTTGAACCAGCTGCTGCCATTGACCAACTCAATGAAACCATTCCCCAGATTTCCAAGAATAAACTGTGCGACAATCAGGACCAGGAACACCCACTCAGCTAGTTCCAACATGTCAGCAATTAGCCAGCCTTGATCTTTATTCCTTCTGTTTAGGTGTGTTAGGTCCTTGCAGATTAGAATTTTTTTTTCAGAGAATCTGTCCTCTATCTGTTGCTTCACTGTACCTGTCTCATCTCTACCCAGTTTAGTCTGCCACATACCACAGTTTAGTGAATCTTCTCTGGCTATTTCAGGTCACTCTGTCCTCTTCCTAGTTGACATGGATTGTCATTTCTATGATCCTAAACTCAGCAGCTCTTTGTTAAAATGCAAATGAAGCAGTGTCTGGTGTCACATGGAGAAGGAAGACATGTGAGTCAGAAAGAATATGGGGAAGATGTGGACTCAATTTCAATGAAAGTAGGATCGGAGCCAACAAGAACAGAAATGTGAGTGGAACCAAAGAGGCACAGGATCACTCTGAAGAGTGAGAATTCTTGTTCCTCAGGAGGGAGGACTCAAGAGACATACCCAGAAAAGGGGAAATACCAGAATTTCACCAGCAGGCACTTTCCATCACCCAGGTAAAAAGCACTTTAAATAAAGGTCAGTAATACTGGTCCTGGATTAGATCTAAAAGACCTGTCCGTTGGAGTGTTGTCTCAAAGTTCTTTATTACTGAGCCACAACATTAGAAATTCATAACTATTTGAATATCTGAATAATGAAATTCATCATATAAGTTATTCAAAATATGAGTTTTTAGGTATATGACCACTGTATTAATTAATCAGTAGCTCAGGCTGATAAAGATTATGCAGATTTATCCAATAAAAAAGGATTATTCACCTAAAAAATGCCTTACAAATTCTGACCACAATTGACAATAATATGATGCATTATTACCCCTTCTCAGTAAAGCCCTTTACTATTTGTAGTTGAGTGGTACTCAGTTTTCTATCCAAGAGTATATTTCACAAAATTGATTTTAAAAACATGAATCAGTTGTGATGAATGCTGTTTGAAAATGTTGTTTGAAGGATGGAGAAGGAAATCAATGCCAACAAGATATAGAGTAGGGAGATCAATAACATTACCAATGACAGATCGAGGGATATATTTTTAAGTCTCTTCAAAAAGACTTCACACAGTAGCAGACCATAAATGTGAAAGAATGAAATACAGTCTCATCTAGGTAGATGCTAAAAATCTCTAATGTGAACCAAGTGAGCCTCAGGAGTTACAACACTACATTGTGTATGATTTGATTACAGAGAACTGCAGAGTACCTAGGCATAAACACTGTCCTCACTAATCACTCTCAGTTTTATTAAGGCAATTTTACAACCTGGCCCAAGTGCTTCATGAACTCTGTGCTGCAGAATTAGAATAAGGTCGGTTTCCAGAAGTCTCTGGGAGTCCAGTAATAAGAATGTATTCCAGTGGCAGGCCTATCCCACAAACTACCTTTGTCTCTATTCATTTTTCCATAGAATTGTTACCTCAATTCTATGGATTAAGATTTATTAAATTTTCTACCTTTGCAACTCCTTAAGAGAAGAAATATAATAATAACATTCTTCTATCTATATATTATTCAAAGAGGAGGTTTAGAATACACAGCAAATCAGAATACATTTCACACACAATTTCATATTTGACCATAGTTTTTACTAATCTTATTTTTACCCCTTCTACTCAAACTTATCATGTTCAAAACAAGCCTGTTAAATTACATCCCCCTTTAAAAAACACATCATTTCTCTTTCTCCCTTAATCTTCCCCCTTTCAGAAAACAGCAACATTATTCAGTTCCTAAAATCAGGCACTAAGAATACACTTGATTTTTTTCCCTTTCCCATTACCCCATATCCACTCAACAATGACTTACACATCTTAACTACAAAATATATCTTGAATTTTACATTTCAATTGCATACATTCTAGCCTAAATTGCCATTTTTTTCTCATTTATACTATTTTATAACCACCCTTTTTTGCCACTTCTACCCTTTTTTCTAACAATATATCCTCAATTTAGGCATAAGAGTGATGTTCTTAATCTGTCAGTCCAGTCATTTCATTCCATTACTTAAAATACTTCAATGGCCTCTCATGCCACTACCATAAAATATAATCTCCTTACATTACAGTATGTAGTAAAAATGTTTGGGTATCATCTTGTTATGCACCAAGATTCAAAGCGAATTTTACAGTATCACATGGTTTATGTTAAAGAACAAACTTTGAGTAAAAGGAAACTTACATCAGCAATAGAATGAAGACAGGGTTCTTCCTTGCCCTATCATTACACACAGAGATTAGGGTGCTGTTTGGTTACCTCCCTGGCCCAAATGCTTCTGTGTATTAAAAATGTATCCCATCCTACCTGTTGTTCTCCCTTTTTAAAAAGTGAAAGCAATCATGTCAATAGGAAAACAAAGAATCTCCTCATGGCCAGAAACTCTTAGATTTGGAAAGCTGGTTGTTACAAGAGTTCTCTGGAAATGACAATTGATCAACATCTGAGACAGGGTCTATAATTATTCCCATCTTCTATGAGAAAGAAAGTCAGAATGAGATTATAACACAGCTAGTAAATAGCAGGGCTGGGATTCCAGCCCTTTCAGAATCCTTGTCTTAAACCAAAGACCTTGGAGATTGCCTACTGATGTTGCCTTATTGAAAACAAAGGGAAATGGGGGCCTTGAGCAGTATTAACTCGGGGCAAAATCTTAGATCTCTTTTTCGTATGTCACACTGCTTCCTCTTCTCTGGCTCCTGATAATTTTTTCCACCTCTCAAATCAGGGAACACTACTGAAAGCAACAAGTGTTTTCATGGAAACCTAAACCCTCTGGGTCCAATATTCAACCTCTAATGTTACTCACTTACTCAGTTAATAATGCTCTCATGGTAAACTGGAAAAACTCTAAAAGAAAATAGCCAGAATACTCACATCCTTGTACTATCAATGATATTAGCTATGTGACGCTAGCAAATTTCTTGAACTTTCTGACCCTCTGTTTCAAAATAAACAGAGACCAGATGATCAAGGGATGGTTTAAGAGCTTGGATTCTACAATCAGAGCTGGAGTTGAGTATGATTGCCAGAGCTCATTAGTTAATGTGAATTAAAGTATCTCCCTAAACCTCAATTTGTTCATCTAGAAAATGACCATGATAATGAGCACTTATTTCATAGAATCACTACAATGATTATATAAGACAGGTCCTATAAAAATATAAAATTCTAGCCAGGCATGGTGGCACACGCCTGTAGTCCCAGCACTCGGGAGGCTGAGGCAGGAGGATCACTGTGAGTTCGAGATCAGCCTGGGCTACATAGTGAGTTCCAGGTCAGTCTCAACTACATAGTGAGACCCTGTCTCAAAACACCAAAAAATAAATAAAATAAAATGCAGAAGTGTTCTTCAAATGTTAGCTACATGTCACTACATATTACCTATAAGTACAATATTATGAAAACTTATACTTAATATTTAACTTGTCAAGGAAGAAAATCAAAATAGAGTAACATTGGTTTAACATAAATTGGGAGGCATAGTTAAATCTGGCTTCAGAAAGGTCCACTGAAGTTCTGAACTAAGCTGCAGACACACATGCTCACCTTCATCCCCATGCAAGCTAACCTCTGGACTGCAGCAAATGCAGCTTCCTGAAACACTGTAACAATCTGTACAAGAGACTCCCTTTACCTGAACTACCTCAACACTGAGACTGCACCCTCTCCCTTGCTTGTAAACCAACTTATTTGACAGTACCAACCATAATTTCTGAGTAAAATATGATGTAGTTTCCAACTACCTTGTGACTTTTTAAAGCTATACTGTTGCCATTTTGTAAAACCACTGAGTACACTTCCAAGATTGAATCTATTTTCCCAGACTGCAATCTTAATTGGCCTCATATTAGTGTAATTTTCTTTATTCTCAACTAGGTTGAGGTTATTTTTCATTCAACAATACATGTAAAAAAGGCCAGGGATTTAGCTCAGTGGCACTGCGCCACTGAGTTCAATTCCCTATCAAAAAACAAAAAACAATACATATAAGAAATACATGTAACATATACCTAAGGAATAAAGCAAATGAATACTTAGAACTCCACTACCCAAATTAAGAAAACATCACCTGTTATCACAGCTTTTACTTGTGTGCTTATTCCCATTTCCTGTCTTCTTTCTTCCAACTCTTCCAAGGTAATTCATCATGAATCATTTATTTTTCTCACTTTAAAATATATGGGCTTATCTGTATACATATTTACCTCTACTTGATATTTTAATCTTTATAAAAAAATAACATAAAGACTTTCTGCAATATGACTGTCTCTGTTTATATGTTATCTGTTAATATGCTCTTCCTTTACAGAGTTGCATAATATTCCAGTGTGAGCATTTATTTATCCGTTCCGTTGAGTTTTTGGGTTTCCAGTTTCATATTATTGGGGATATAGCTCAGTGGTAGAGCATTAGACTATAGTTTCATATTATTATGTACACTGCTATGAATACCCTAAGACATGTTCCATGAGTTCCATTAGCAAGGATTAATTAACTATAAGGTGTACCGTAAAACTGGAATAACTAAGTGAAGGTTCAACGTTATAACGCCAGAGGGATGGAATTTATTCTACCCTCTCCAGAGTGTTTCCATTACCTTGAATTTTATCAAATATGTTGAAATTTACCAATCTAGAGGGTTTACACTGAAATCTCGGGGTTTGGTTTGCATTTCCTTATTAATGAGGTCAGTATCTCTATCATATTTTACATGTCCTCTGTGAAATGCCTGTTTTTGAACAGTCTTCAATCTTTTTTCTAGTTTGTAGTTTACTTTTTACATTAATCTAGATAATCATTATATTACTGCAAATGTCTTAATTTGTGACTTTTTTGCTTTATGGTGACTTTTGATAAACAAATGTTGCTCTTAACAGTCAAATTTTTCATTTTATTTAAATAAAAGTTCAATGTCCCCAATCCTAAAAGGGTTGTCCTTTACATTCTCACATTTAAATTTTGCCTTTTGCAAATTAAGTCTTTAAATAGCCAAGAATTTATTTTTGCATATGATTCTATTACATTTTATTATGCATAGATGACAAATTTTTTCTAGTATCATTTGCCTTATATTTTACCCAATAATCTATGCCTACTAGATATTATTTCCATGTAAACATGGTCCTATTATGGATTATTCTATACTACTGTTCTATTTGTCTATCCCTGCATTAATAGTCTACTTATTATAATAGCTTTATTTAATGAGACTAAAAATCCTTGCCAGTTGGCAGAGTAAGTTCATCTCATTCTTCTTCAGGAGCTAGTTGTTTGTTCCTGGAACCTTATCGATACATCTTTGGAATCAATTTGTTAAGTCCTCTAAGTTATGGAAATTTAGAATTCTTTTGATCTGTAACATCAATCTGAGGATGGATGACACCTTTATACCATAGATGTTTCCAATAAAGATGATGTATGTGTTTAGTTTTTCTAATGTGTTTCAATTGTTTCAGAATGTTCTTCAGAGACCATGCACTAGAAACCCATCTTCTGATGATCTCATACTATTGTTTTTACATTACGTTTTTGCTTACAATGTAATATTGACCTTATTTACAACTCCTACTTATTTATATTTATTTTCAATGTAATCATAGCATTTGTGAATCAAGCTTTTTCTGATCTTAAAACTTCTTAAATTTTTCAATAATATACTTAATAGAACCTCAGCACAGGTAGGTTTTAAGGAGAAATAGTAACAAGACAGCCTGTTTCAAAGGGAATTTTGAAAAACGTTTGAGGCATGTAACCTGTTATTTCCAAACCACAAGGCCAAGATTAGTGTCATCAGAGAACCCCTATTTGTGTTGCTTGTGTTGCTCTAATTTCAGTTCCTCTATCATTTGAACATTGCCCCTTGGTTTTTTTTCTTCCTACAAGCCCAATGTTATAAATTATATTATGTCCCCATCCCACAAATTCTTCTGTTATTGATGCTCTAATTCCAACTCCCACATGACTGTATTGGAAGGTGCAGCCTGTAAAGAAGTAACTAAAATTAAGTGAGGTCAAAAGGGTAAGTCCCTACCCCTCATAGTCAAACAAAAAAAAGAGGTCATACAGCAAGACAGTAGCCCCTACAAACCAGGAAGAGGCTTCACAGGAACTGACCAGCTGCCACTCTGGCTTCTGGTATCTAAAACTGCAAGAAAGTAAATGTTTGTTGTTTAAGCCACCCTGTCTACCATGTATGCTATTTTGTTATGACAGTCTGGTCTAATGATACAATAAAAACTATTTTGTAACTAGGATCTTGTTAATTCCCAGTAGCAAGGCTCCTTACCAAATGATCTAATCAGCTAACTGCCAAGGGAGTGTAAGGACAATACTGAGGACTATAAGACAAATTCAACAGTATTCATTGAAAAATAAGTTTATGCTTCCTCTTTTTGAGGCTAATTATTAAGGTTCTATGTGCTTTTTATATCCCTAGGTCCTTCCCCAAATATATAATGAGACACAGATTAAAAACCTAAAGAACTATGGGATAAGTGCTAAGTTTTTACTCTTGCTTGCAGTGGAAGGTTATGAAACAGAAAGAACAAGAGCAAAGATTTGATCATGTGCACGGAGATAAAGGTAAGAATGTGCCAATTAGAAAGATTAGACTTAATTGTACACAGTTACACAGTAAGTGGATTAAACAAGGTAGAAGTTTATTTGTATCTTCCAAAAAAGGCCACAGGCAGGCTGTCCAGGATGGTCTGGTGGTCCCGGGTGGTCCCAGGTCCCAGCTTCTTCCATCTTCCATCTGAAGAGTGCTTCATGCTCAGGATGGCAACTGGAGATACAGCCATAATGTCCACATTTCAGACAAAAAAATGGGGATGAGGGTTTGAAGAAACACAAAGGATAAGTCTCCAGAGTAGTTTGTATAAAAACTTTCCTGAGAGCTCCTGCAAAAGACTTCTGCATATAGCTTTTCTTGGCAATCCCTAACTGCAAAGGACAGAATGTAGTATTTGGCTGTTTACAATATCACCTCAAACGTGTAATAATGGTTTCTTTTTTCTTAATATGTCATGAAGCTCTGACATTTTTGGGGCCTTGTGGACCCAGAGTGGCTGCCTCTTGCATAGTTAGTTAATTACAAAGTCAGTGAACAACCTGATAAGCAAACCAACCAATCCTGAGTCCTTATATTTGTATACTACCTTTTACTAGACCCCTGCCCTCCTTTACACGAGATGCCTGACAGCTAAGTACCTACAGCCCAGAGAATGCTGAAATCCTTCAAATTACCTAACCTTACATTTGCTCAGCTTACCCATTGTGCTTTACCTGTCTCTTCCCTAGAGAAAAAATAAGGTGAAGGCCCTGACCCATGTGTGCCTCCTTACCTACTCTTTGTTCATGTTGTGGCCCTGTATTGCACAGTATGCCCCTCCTCTTGGGAAGGGTCAGGAACAAAAAGCTGCCTCTTGGAAGTGTCAGTAACAAAAAGCTCTTCTTTCAAAGGCCACTGTCTCCCTATCTGTCATATTACTATACTGTATATAATTAAAATAGATTCCAGTGGTTGGTCACACAACAGGCAAGCAACTGGAAATCCTTCCCACAATATGGTTTTCCACAAAAGAAACTGGTATCTAGCAAGATGTGAAAGTTATCTCACAAAAAACTATTTATGATGTGTATGCCAAGGGAAAAAATTACTCCTGCACTTCTTGGCTCCAGATTATTACATACATCCTGATCAATACCTATTCAAACTAAACTCATTATCTTTGCCCCCTCTCAAATTTGCTGCCTCATCTGTAGTCCATAAACTTAAAAACAAAGTTCACTATTCACCAGTGATCCAAGAAGGAACTCCTGAATCATCTTTCAATTGCTTTTTCTCTTACCAATACTTATTGTAGCACCCCACACTGTTCAGGGGTCTTATGTTATTCTTAGTATTTGTATTCCAGAGCCTAGCACAAGATCTGACACAAAACCAGAACACATTTATTTGAATTAATTTGAACCCCAAATGTTACTCGAGTTACTTCTCACCCCCACCGACCCACCCACCCTACTAATCTTTCCAGAATTGTTGCAGGAACTTCGTAAGTATCTCTCGGCTTTCCCCACTTCTAACCTGTTACCCGTGTCTCTTTCCTTTCTAAAGCATAGTTTTGATGAGACATTCCTGTTTTCAAACCTTCTATGGCTCCCTACTGCCAATGTTCTGCAAGATTCCAGGGTCCTTTATATTCTAGCAGGAACTCATCTTTTGCTACTTCAAAAACGTTTGCATTTCTGGATCTTTATTTATTCTGTCTCCCCTGCAGAAAACTAGCCTAACTATTTTCTTCCATGCTATTCCGCACACCATGTCACACTTAGTTTCAGAGTTTCCACCTATTCTCCCTCCCAGCCCTCATCCTCCCAAACTGTACAGTTCCTTACTCAGCAATCTTGTTAGAATCAACTCTATAGCCAGGTACTGTATTGGGTCCATACTTATAACAGCTGTCCAGTTGACTATGGAATATTAAAAAATTGTAATCAACCAAAAGCAAAGAACCAATGTGGAATAAGTACTCAGTTATCCATGGAAGCATCGAAGTGAGTAACAACAAAAAGTCAAGTACAATAAACTATTCTAAGGTTAATAAGTTCTCATAAATATTACATGAAACTTGGTAAGACAGGCACAGTGACTGAAAGAATATGCCTTGCTTAAAATATTAACAACAACAATAACAGTCAAGACATATTGAATACAAAGTGTTTCAGTCACTATGCATTACACGAGTTACAGGTATTATAGCATTTATTATGTTCTTCACAACAGTAGTATTACCTTATTTAATTGTAAGGCAGAAAGTTAAGTAACTCACCAAGGGTCACTCACTCAACTGTTGAGGAGAGAAGCACAAATTCAAATTCAAGCTATCTGACTGTATGGCCTTACCTCTGGGCTATTATTATTATAGACTACTTGTTTTTCAAACAATAGGTAGGGCAAAAAAGTAAATAAACATCAAAAAACATTTTGATGTTTATTTACATATATATGGCAAAAAAAAAAAAAGCCCAGAGATGCAAAAGAAGGCAGACAGAGAGAGTAAATGGATGAAGAATAAGATGACAAAAAGATGCTTCATTATTGTGGCTATACGACCTGAAAAGCTACAAACTATCCTGATATGTGGGGCTGTGGGGCTGGCACAGAAGCAAATTACAGCAATGAGAAGTGACTTTAATGCTGTCAATGCCTGACAAACTGCTCAATCTCTCAAAAATGAGAAGTTGAAAAGTTCCTTAACAATATTCCTGACAATTTCAACTCCCAGTATGTAAACAGTAAAAAGAGCACATGCTCCAGGTTACTCTAACCAATAGATTCTGCTTGACATAAGGAAAGCAGGAGGAGTATGTTAAAATCACATGGTAGAAAAATTATCTGGGACTTATTTTCCGGTAGGATCATCAAGCTAAGAATTAGAAATATTAGTAGGCAGAGAGGTAACTCTCCACTCCTAAACTCTCCACCCAATCACAACCTATTATGTATTCAACATCAACTGTCTCTTTAGATCAGCAGTAGAAGAATGGGAATACTAACTAACTGTAGAGGAGTATGAGTGCAAATGCAGTGAGCAGAAAGGTAAACGAACACCTCACATACTGAGCCTCAAGCTCCTGGTAGGCATCTTAAAAGATGACAAGTTAATCTCTCTCAGTTTTTGGATTTCATGGGTAAAACAGTATTAGTACTTTCTTCTTAGGATAATAGTTAATTGAGACAATGATTTAAAAAACATACTTAGCTCAGTGTCTGACATATAGTTAGCACATAAGAAACATCAGCCATTAATATGGTTATCATTACCTCTCCCTATCACTCATTAACCTTGGGGATTACTGTTCATTTTCTACAGTGATTTTCTTGTTGCTCCTTCCACCAAATTTCACACTATGTAATGCAAATCCAGAAAGAAACTAAGTAAAATAATCCTGCCCTCATTTTCATGTCAGTGTTCCAATCCAATTCAACTGGATGATAGACATCTCATAAAGTCCTATAATGTCACTGTGGTAGGCTGAGCGGGATAGGAGTTCAAGGGCAATTTGAATAGAAGGTAACACTGCCTTCGAGAATTAGGTAATCTCTTTTGGGTACAATGGGAAACTTCCATTGATTTTTCCTAAATGAGTTATGAAGCTTAGACCATAACCCAGTTAGCAACAAGTTTGTCCCCCAAAACAAATATACCTATTCCCCAAACAGGCTCAGAAAAATGTTTGGTATTTTGGGATGTCTCTGAATTAATTATTCAGTGATTTCTGAGAAATGCATTATTCTGAGAATTGTACTGGCGGTGAACAATAGATTATCATACAGGTAAGTCTGTTAGTCCTTGGTTATATAGGTGTTATTAAAATGTAGATACTATAAGCATAACATGCTAAAATGCAGATGGATGGATAAAGAGTATAAAAATTTTTCCAGTACATGAAGCAGTACTGGCTGCAGGTAAGTTGAGCATGCCTGGTTTCAAAATAATGGAAAAGATTTTCCCCAAATTAAAGTTTTATTAATTATAAAACACATACCCATACTATAAACAAACAAAAAAGTTAAAAAGTATGAAAAAAATACACAATATCCTATCCAGTGATAATCACATTTTGATGTTTCTCCTTTCAGACTTTTTAAAGCATTTTGAAATTAATTATAACTTATTTTCAAAACTGGAATAACACCATACATGACATTTCATACTTTTTCCTCCCACTTTTCTGTGTATAGCTCTCATCTTTTCCTTAAATACATAATCCCCAAATCAAAGTCATGGAGCAGAATCAGCAGGTTTATTATCCGACATCACATCAAGAAGGGAAATGCAGGGCCATGGATCTAGCTTAGTGATTCCACCACCTGCCTCAAAAGGACAAGGACCCACGTTCAATCTCTGGTACCAAAAAAAAAAAAAGAGAGAAGGAAAATGCTTAGCCTAGAAGAGCCCTACAGTCTATTCCTGCTATCAGATTCTACAAATATATTCTGTGCCTGGACTTTTTTGGGAGTAGCAGAAAGCAGATAGTGCTGCCAAGGTAAGGAATACAGTTTTTTTGCTCCAGCAAATCTGGCTGGTTTGGAGCCAGTGGGTCTACCACCATCAGTATGCAGATAGAGGGCACAACCTGACTCAGAAAGTGCTACTGCCTCAGCCTGATGCCTGCTCAGCTACAAGATGAGAGGCAGCTACAAGATCCCCTGCAGGACAGTTTAAAGAGTCCTCACTCAGTTCACAGCGATGATCCTACAGGACACACTATTCTGTTCCTGCACGCTGGACTCAAGATACTGTTTTAGGCAGGTAAATAAGCTCTTGTGATTTTCCCAGAGAATAGACTGACTGATCATCCTGTTTAGTGAAGAATGCTAATCTGCATAATTTCTCATAAAATTTAAGGCGTATAAAAGCTGCTTTGCTGAGGGACGATACATGAGCTGCTCAAAAGACAAGTTTATTTACTTTACAATTTTGCATGAGGAATAAAACTACCTCACAAGACAGATTTAATGTGTGAACACAAAACACAGAGTTACTATACTTGCCAACTAATGGATCCCACTGCAGAAAGACAAAGATAGCTGACAAGAGGCAAGGGTAATTTGTACTGTTCCTGGGCAAGAAGATAAAGCTAAGGAATGCTATCTTTGCTCAGCCAAACTGTGCACTGTAAGCACAAAAAAGCTGTTCAAGTGTGCAAGAATAGTTAACTCCAACATGACCTAAGCTACAGTTGGTACCACATTCTTAGACAAAGATGTCAGAATACGTAGCCTGAGAAACAAATCTACAGGATGGACTAAGCTGGGCAGAGTGGGACAGAGAGAACAAAGGACTTCTAACATTTGAACAAAATGACTTGATCAGCAGGAGCTGACTTCTGGAAAACTGTAAGCAGACCTGAGAAAGACCAATACAAACTTTACAAATAAAATGCACTGAAAACTAAGTTGATTTTATGTAATATTTATTAGTAATTATTGGTACTGTACTGGAAAATAAAAGGAAAATGCAATGCCGGAAGCTCTAGGAAGTAAAAAGGTATTAAGAGAACCTTAGGGTTGAGGTTTAGCTCAGTAGAGAAGTGTTTGCCGGCATGCCCAAGGCCTTGGGTCCATCCCCAGCACTGAAAAGGGGTGGGGGTGGGTGGGAAGGGGAGCTTCTTCCTATGCTCTGAAAATTCTGGAAGAGATCTTGAAAATGATAGTAAAAAGAGGCTTGTAAAGACATAGAATAATGGAAACAGAGCACCCACAGATGAACTATTTCCTCTCTAGTTAATGGGAATCATTCATCTGTCAACATTTAGTGTTTCTTCTATGCCACACACTGGTTAAGGTACAGGTACAAAGAGAAGTCAGTCCTTGCTTGCCTGCAAGTCTACAGAGCAAACATAAGAAAATCAATATTTACATCTATAGGATAAATGACTCATATACTAATGCTCACTCAACACTGCAAGGCTAAATCAATACTGAAATAGAAGGGTACACAAAAAGCAGGGGGCCCTCCACAGAACACGTATCCCTTTGATATAACACAGATGGATGAAAAGTTCATTATTTTGTATAGCTGTACAAAGAAACTACCCCTAAAAGAATAAACAACTAGTAAAGGCTATATATAATTGATAAGACCTACCAAGGGATATGCCACATAAAGAGGAGGAGTGAAAGAAAACATTATCAATCATTTTATAAAACATCATTTTAATTCTTGTCCTTAAAACTATAAAGACTATACATGATTTGAAAATGAGACTGTACCAAACAATGGCCAAAGAACCATCCATTCATTCCTTTCCTTTTGTCTGGTCACTCAAAAAGATAATGTTATCTGTAAAGAAATCAAAGTATAAGTATTAATTTCTGAACTTTGTCTTTAATAATCCTCTCTCATTTTTTTTTTTTTGTTTTTTTTTTGGTTTTTTGAGACAGGGTCTCCCTGTATAGTTGAGACTGAACTGGAACTCACTATGTAGCCCAGGCTGGTCTCAAACTCACAGCTCCTGCCTCAGCCTCCTTTGTGCTGGGATTACAGGCGTGCGCCACCCCGCCCGGCTAATAATTCTCTTCTAATGATATATAATTAGTCCTGTTACAAGTTTTTAGAGTATTAAATAATGTCTGCTATGTTCATGAGTAGCATATATAATAGGCATAAATGGAGCTGCATGTTAGGTTTCTATTGCTTGTCTAACAATGCAGATTTTGTTAAAAGAGGAGAGGCATTTCTTAAATTTCCTGAACAGTTAACATAAAATCTTTCTAGCAATAATTTCCTCTAAAAGAGCTGGTCACAAACTGGGATGCTTGCAATGCTCAAGAGATATCAAGAAATCAGGATGAATGCCCTTCCACAGAACAGGACCATTCCAGATGCTACAGTAACAGAAACTAGGATGGAGAACCACACATTGCCTTATTAGCAACTGCAGATTTATTTATGTTTTAAATAAGTTTAAGAATTGTTTTTGTTTTTTGAGACAGGGTCTCACTATGTAGTTCAGACTGCTCTGGAACTCACTACATAGCCCAGGCTGGTCTCAAACTCACAGCAGTCCTCCTGCCTCAGCCTCCCAAGTACTGGGATTACAGGCGTGTGCCACCATGCCCAGCTAAAAAATTTTATTTTTAAATTTTAAAACAAAATGACTTTTAAGTATGCATTTTGGTGAAGTTTTAACTACAAATATTAATGCAATCATTTTCACCCAAAAACATCAGACACTGCTCTGCAAATGCTATTTTAGAGGAAATTAGCCAAAGGTAAGCAAAGGAAAAGAGATAAAGTAGTATTTTCTATGTAACTCCACAAATTTTAAATTCTTTTAAGTATAAAATTATCCACAAAAAGACTATTATATGACTAATGAGATGCTCATGACTTCATAGTTAGTATTCCAAAAACTGTATTTTTTACTTCAGACAAGATTATTAGAATTGACATCATTGTGTTAAAAGTCAACAGTGCCACCCTCTGGTGGTTAGTATTAAATTCAGGTATAAACTGTAGGGAAAAAAAATTTAAGTCTACGCAACAGCAAATTCAAGTCTGTTTTCTTCAATTCAAACATCACTGAAGATAAAGTTAACTGACCATGCTAGTAATAACTGATGAAAAGAAAACAACGAAATGGTAGGCAAACTGAAATGCTTCTATTTGGTTTAATTCCTAACAAGCCAACAATCTGAACAATCCAAAGTTTGTCCACACACTTGATGCATAGTTGGGAGGAGGGGACCAAGGGCAGAAAAATACCTATGTTGGGTTTCCAGGTCAATACGCTTTCAAATAAACTATTAGAAGATATATGATTAGTATATACAAAAAATTGTACATCGATATGTACACTGGTTAAGACACAAACTTTGGAACAGTGAGATGAAAACAAAAGTGTTAAGACTTAAAATGCATAAACCACATGATATAATATATAGATGTTCATGAAGTAATCAAGAAAACTGAATTCTTAGTAAACTTGGTATTTAGTTCAAAAAGTTTAATATCTTAATATGGGTGTGGTAATAGCACTGCACTTACCTTTTTTGAAAAGATACCTTATCTTTTAGAGATACCTACTAAAACCAAACATCATCTGTGATTTGATTAAAATAAAAAAACATCCACACAGAGGCTAGGTGTGGTGGTACACACCTGTAATCCCAGCACTATAAAGGAAGATCCTGTCTGAAAAACAAAAAACAAAAAAGATAGCTGGGCATGTTGGTGCATGCCTATAATCCCAGCATTTGGGAGGCTGAGGCAGGAGGATCGCTGTGAATTCAAGACCAGCCTGGGCTACGTGGTGAGTTCCAGGTCAGACTCAACTACATAGGGAGACCCTGTCTCAAACAAACAAACAAACAAACAAAAAAGATGTAACACTGGTCCCTCAGTTGATGACTGAATGATGGAGGCTCATTTTTACTACCCTCTACATTTTATGTATGTTTGAAATTTTCCACAATAACTTTAATAATAATAATTTGAGCCTATCTCAGTAGTAAACAAACACTGAGATATTACTATAAAATAGGCTGTTTTGGAGACATGTTCTTGCAAAATATTCCAGGCTAGCCTTGAATTCACTATGTAGCGTAGGGTGGCCTAATACTCCATAGATCTTCCTGACTCAGCTTCCCAAGTGCTGGGGCTACAGGCATGCACCACCACACCTAGCTATTCATTTCTATTCAATGTTTTCTAAAAATAAGGTTTATTGATATTTTGGGGGGATTACCAAAGATCAAACTTAGGTCCCTGTGCTTGCAAGGCAGGCAGCAGAACCAAGCTAAATCCCTGGCTAAGGTTTATTGATTTTATATCAATAAAAACAAATAAAAAAACAGAATTGAGGCTTAATAATATCTACCTTTAGCAATTTATGCAAGAAGTGATGGTGAACCTATGGCACCCATGTCGCAGTAGTCCATTTGTACCACTGAAAGCTCTAAAAGATTTGCCATTACTGATCTATCGCATTAACAGATATATTTTCAATAAAATTTTAATTTTAATGTTAATAAATTGAAAATGGTCTCAGTTACGTACTAAAAGCAATTGTAATGGTTAATTTCAATCAACAAGAAACATATCATTTAGAGCCTGTTGCAGAATCTTTTTAAAGTATCTTAAAATTTCTTTTATATACAGTCAGCCCTCAATATGCATAGGTTACACATCCACAAATTCAACCAATCGTGGATCAAAAATACGTGAAAACAATTGCATCTGCACTGTACACGTTCAATTTTCCTTGCCATTGTTCACTAAACAATGCAGTGAACAACTGCATAGACTTTGTATTGCTATTACTATTACTTTACATTACTATCAGGTATTATAAGTAATCTTGAGATGACCTAAAGCTTATGGGAGCATATGTGAAGGTTATATGGTAATACTATACCATTTTATGTCACAGACTTGAGCATTTGCAGGTTTTAGTATCTGTAGGGGATCCTGGAACTAATCCTCTAAAGATAGAATGGAATGACTATATGAATGTATTTTTGTTCAACCAAAAATAAAAATAAAATTTTTAACTACACAGTATATTAAGATACACATTTGAAGAAGAAATGAAAACAAGTTCAAAAAAAGGAATAATACAAACATTTCAAATGTTGAGCACTTATTCACGTATTTTTAATAAGATGGTATTAAATTGCCACACTTACAGTCCACTAATCCAAACATAATAATTTTATATAGAAAAACACTTCTCAAAGTTAATGTACAGAGATCCAAGGAATTATACTGTTTTCAAAATTCTTTTCCTAAAGTTTAGGGTATCTTAAGGGATACCTTAATCTTCTTCAAGCTTTCTATGTCCCTTGTTTTGTATTTTGTTTTAAGAACAATGAAGTTTTTTACATTTGTATTGAAATTTCAGCATATGAACTTCCAAAGAGGTTCTAAATAAATCTACACTAATTTACACTGCCACATTAATACAGCTGTTTTGGCACACAGTTCTCCCTGTTTAGGCCATGGTATATATGTATACATGTATGTATGTATACATGTGTCTATTATGTATGTATGTATGTATTTGCTTTTTTGAGACAGGATCTCACTATGTAATTCAGGCTGGCCTTGAACTCACAGCAATCCTCCTGCCTCAGCCCATGAAGTGCTGCGATTACAGGCACATACCACCACCACTCCCAGCAAGCCATAGTCTTTAAAAAAAACTATGATTAAATTTGTTTAACCCTCAACAGTAAGTACTAGCATGGACAATTCAATTTTATACTCTACTCAAAAGTTACCTGTGAACTAAAACTGCATGTAGAGACAATCTTTTCAAGAGATAAATGTAGAAACTCTTAGCAAACAGAAAAAGCTAAATAAAATTCTTCTGAATTCCAGTTTCACAAGCACTGGTACTCATAGACCCAGTTAGTTATGTACAACACAGTATAACTTTTAAAGAAAGAAGAAAAAGAAGAGCTATTATTGCAAGCTTCTTACCAGCTATGATTGTTGTTGCTTGTCGTCTCACATTATTCTTGTCCATGTATTCTCCATAGTCTACTTTCCCTTCCACGAAAATTCGAGACCTGATATAAAAAAAAACTGGTTTATCTGGAGATCCTAAAACACTTTACAAGAGTCAAATCAGCAGTGATAATGAACAAACACCAAAGACAGAATACCTAATTACATGTAATTTTATTCTTGCTTCCGCTTTTCAAAGTTCAGAATTAACAGTACTAAAACACAATGTAAAAACAGACTTGGATACACAGGTAAAATGGACAATGTTATCACCCTTCAACTAGTTTCCTCATGGAAATTTAAAAACAAAAAAGTAACCATATGACTATAAAGAATGGAAAAGCAACTTACATAGTACCACCCTTTAAATCTCTAGGAATTTCCAATGTATCATTTCATTTAACCTTTGACTTTGGACTCCCTAACAGATACAATGACTTTAACTTATTTATCAATTTCCTTCTATACTGAGGTTCATAACTTTATTCTCAAGAGACTTAGATTATTAAAATTCAAAATCAAGGTTTTTCAACTTAGTATATCAGTTATTGACTAATTCTACCCCACAAAAAAGGCTGAGCCAGGAGATCATAACCCCTTTTATGAAGAGTAAAAAATGATACCCACTGGCATCAGTTTTCAGAGTCCACCACCACTACAAAAGCACAACACAGAAAAAGACAAACTAGTGAATGATGGGACATCAAAGACACAGACTTAACTATCAGTAGGTCAAACCCGTACATCAACATTTTTCTTTAAATATTCTACATGTGTTTGCACATAATATAAAAACATATTCATACATATGTATATTATTAAAGGCAATGGAGATATATATGAAGGAAAGGTATGCAGTTATTGAAAAGAAATAGAAATTTTAGTTACTGCAGAAACTATTTTTCATGAAATGTTTTATTTCTACAACTCAAGTACATTTTTAAACATAATATTAATATAACTATTATTAAACATACCCTTCTGAGAGTTTAGATATTTTTCATATAAATAATCAAGCCAAGCATTGCAAAAGAGAACTATTACGTCTATAGAAAACTACCAAATAAAACAACTGCAAGAATAGTATAATAACTCAGTATATTGCCATTCAGACACTCTAGGCCCTCCAAGGGTGTCATACAAATGCTGAGGCAAAACATCACTCCCTGGGTCTGTGGTCACGAACCTCCTAAAAGCATATATTGTTGCTGCTCAAAGAGCAGATGTTGTGGTGGCACTTGACTCTGACTTCTCTCCTGTCTCATCTATTTCTATTTATGTATATAACTTGTTTGCCTAAAAAGTTCTTAGAAAGCTTAAACCATGTTTTGCACACCTTTGAATTAGTCACATGCACAGACATTCCAAACACACTACTGAAGAATTTTTAAGTACCACTTGTGTAAGTCCTAAGGAATAAAGTTAGTTCCTGGTCATGAGTCCATTTACTATCAGTTCTTTAAGCCATTCAATCCAAAAGATCTTTCCTTCTTATACTTACCCCTTTTTCACATACTGATATGCTACATCTCTAAGGCCTGGCCGAAACACTGATATCCGGTGCCATGTTGTCTTTTGACTGACATCACCTAAGTCAGAAAAATAGAAAACATGGTTACAAATGCCCTAAACAAGAGGGGAATGAGATTAAAGAAAAAAAAAAAAATTAAGATGTGTTATGTACATATACCAGCTCCCCACAATGAATGCAATCATTCTGTTTTATAAATATGTAGCTTTAAAAAAAAAAAGAAGGAAAAAACCAAACATTGCCGGGTGTGGTGGCGCAAGCCTGTAATTCCAGCACTCAGGAGGCTGAGGCAGAAGGATCACTGCGAGTTCCAGACTAGCCTGGGCTACATATACATAGTACATGATGAATTCCATGGCAGTCTGAACTACATAGTGAGACCCTGTCTCAAAAAACAAAACAAAATAAAAAATGCTCCAGACAAAATAAATAACAAAGGACAACATGCTCAGAAAAACCAAATTCACAAAGGGTAAAGGAGTATAAGGACAAATACAACCAAAATGCTACATGCACATATGAAAACATCACATGGAAATCCAGAATTTTGTAAAGTTACTATGTAATAAAAAAAATACCAGTTTAAAAAACCCAACTCACAATTTCTAAAACAGAACAAAATTAGAAAAGATAGACCTTGTGTAAAAGTAACCTATCTCTAGTTAGTTAACTGGCAATAAAAACGTCTATTTACTGTTGGTAAACGTAAAACCCCAGTGTTTCATACTCACCTATTTGGTATGCTTCACTTTCCCCTGACCGCCACATCTCATTTGTTGCTAGAGAAAATATGGTGACTGGATTTTTTCCTTCCACCTGCCTCATGACAGGGTCCTGACCCACTCGCCCAAGCAACTGCACCCGATTCAGAGCTAAAATGTAATGTGGAGAACAAAGTGACACTGAGAATCTGCTATGGACTGAATGCTTGTTTCCCCCTCCAAATTCCTATCTTAAAGCCCTATCCCCTATTACAATAGTATGTAGAAGAGGGCTTTGGAAAGGTAGTTAGTTTAAATGAAGTCATAAGAGTGGGGCTTACATGATGGGAGTAGTATCCTTATAAAGAGAGACAGAGACCAGGGTTTTCCCTCTCTCTGCCACGGACACAGTAAAAGTCAACCATCTGCAAGCCAGAAGATTATCAGCAATAGTCCAACCATGATGGCTTGGATTTCTTGGCCTAATCTTAGACTTCTAGGCTTCAAAACCATAGGAGGTAAATATCTAGTGTTTAAGGCATGCAGTCTATGGTTATTTGTTATAGCAAGTGATGACTATTAAAGAAATCCACATATCTGACTGAAAAACTATCCAGAAAAGGGATAGCTATATATACTACATAAATTTCTATCTCCGCATTGAGCAAAAGCCAAGTTCTAAAAGATCAGCAAATACAGGGGCAAACAAAAGTTGGGGGAGGGGTTGACAAGAAAGAAAAGCCAGAGAAGGCAGCCTCACAAAACAAAATTTAAACTGAATTCTTTCTTTCTGTTTTTTTATGGTACCAAGGATCAAATTCCGGACCTTGTGCTTGTGAGACAGGCGGTGGAACCACTGAGCTAAAATCCCCAGCACTCTTTCTTTCTTTTACTGGGACAGGGCTATGCAGTTTAGACTGGCCTTGAACTCACTCTATAGCCCAGGATGGCCTTGAAATCCCAGCAATCCCCCTGCCTCAGCCTCTTGAGTGCTAGGATTAAGGATGTACCATCACACCTAGCTTTTAAATTTTTCTTTAAAATATCTTCTTTTAAAAGGAACTGTAGAGTTAAAAGAAATGTGAGATCTAAAATTCCTTATTCTGAAAGGGAATGTCTCATGAAACAGTATCTTTTACAATCTCTGTAACATAACTTCAGAAGACTCAGATAACCAAATATGATTCAAGGACATTGTTACAGCAGGACAATGAAGAAAAGAATAAGTAGTATCTGACTGACAAGGAACAATTTATCCTGGGCCACTAGAGTTTAATGGGCATGGCCAAAATCTATAGAGCAAGTATGAGCCAAAGACATGACAGAAAGCATGGTTAAGCCCAATACACCTCTTCTACAGCACTCTCAGAATAACTCAGAAATTAGCTACTTACATCTTTCAAGAATCAAACTGCTGGCTACTTCTGACTCATGTCTTACAAACTGACGAAGCACCTAAAGAAGAACAAATAAGTAACATGGTTTTAATTTCTTATGAATGCAAAATGCAAACAGAAGACGTGCTCATATTATTCACCCCGTAGCAGATCCAGAAGAGAATGGAGATCTCCAGATGTTCTCCTCGTATATAGTGGGTTTCTTTTGTTTTTTGGTACCAGGGATTGAACTGGGGTCCTTGCACTTGCAAGGCAGGTGGCGGCACCACTAAGCTAAATCCCCAGCCCCTCTCCAATATAGAGTGAAGAAAGGATCAAGCACTTTCAGAGCAGTTGACTACAAAAGCTAAAGGTCAAAAGAAGGTAGTACAGCACATGCTCAAGAGTTAATTTATGGGGTAAAGGAAATATGGGAAAAGAAAAAATATGAGAAAAGGAAAAACAGGAAACAAAGTCTTTGCAAATAGGGAAGGGTGGAGGGGGGGAAGGGAAGGCCAGGGGTATAGGGAAAAAATGAGAACCAAGATATGTCATGTAAAGGTACAAGATCCCAATGATGAATGTTAATGTATTGTATACCTAAAATGTACCAATAAACTCAATTAAAAAGTTAATTTATAGGCCTCTCCTGTTCTTTTTGTGGTAGTATTTCAGATTATGACACTGTAATTACACATAAAAAAATCAAAAAGAAAAAAAGTAAAATCAAAATGGTATGACTTCCACAATATAGAGCATGACAGTGACTGTAAATCCAACCGGTCCCTATGAGTTACTGTCAAGTACTAAAAGCAAATCCAGCATTTTTTTTTTCATTCAGTTTATTGGCTTTTTAGGTATACAGTACAGTTACGTTCATCATTGGGATCTTGTACCTTTACATGACAGATCTTGGTTCTCATTTTTTCCCCATACCCCTGCCCTCTTTTCACCCACTGCACCCTCCCCTATTTACAAAGACTTTGTTTCCATTTTTTCCTTTTCTCATAGTTTCTTGTCCCTTAAATTCCTTTCCCCTACACTTCCCACATCCCCTACACCTTTAGCCCTTTACTTTCTACTTCACATTATCAGTTAAATCCAGCATTCTTAAGGAACAGGAGATATTGTAAATGTGATTAGCCTAAAATGCTTCAGTTAAAAATGAGCCAAAATGATAAGGAACATCTACATCATAATACTATTGCCAAAATTAAAGGGTTTCTGGTGTAAGCTTAGCCCAGAGTTCTTTAAATACCTGATGGGAAATTCCTGCTTTCCATGGATCAAAGGAAGATAGTACTATTATGAATCTGATTAAGTGCAAAGAGATAGCTAAGTCACACAATCAGTGGAAAAGGACAGTCACTGCCACATAGAGCAGCAGCCATCATTACTGAATGGCTGTTTTAGCTGTTATCATTTATCCTACAACCAAGTGTATAAATGATGTAAAGTGTATAAATGATGTAGTTACCCCTCACTTTAGAGCAGAAGAAACTGAAGCTCAAAGTAACTTGTCCAAGATCTTGGAAGAAGTAAGTAGTAATGTCTAGACTAGAAGCCAGGAATATCTGACATGGTAGCTGTTGCTTTTCCCACTACCGTCTGTTGCCTCCTTAAGAGACATTCTGGGCAAGGGTTATCACAAAGGTAGAAGTGCACATCACTGGATCGAGTTCAGAGAGCTAGATATTTTATCAGAGAAACAGCTCTCAAGTGGCAGTATTGTTAATATGAAAAGCAGAAAATTCATCAAAATTGCCAGGCATGGTGGAGCATGCCTGTAATCCCAGCACTTGGGAAGCTAAGGCAGGAGGATCACCACAAGCCTCAAACTGGGAAACATACTGAGTTCAAGCTCAGCCTGTACTACATAGTGAGACCCTGTTAAAAAAAAAAAAAAAATGAACTCATTCCTGGGGTGTTGTTGGCTATATAATCTTATTAAATTTGAGGATAAAGGGTATATTAGAAATAAAGTTGTAATGTATACAATCAAACTAACTAGTATCTGCACTACATTTATAGAAGCACACCAATTTAAGTGGCAGATGAACCAAAACCAGTAAATCTGAAAGAATAACAATGTGTCTCATTTTAGGCACACACACAAAAATCAAAACGTACTAAAAAGGCAGAAAAATGGAAAGGATTGTTTAACTTGGATGACATTTAAAACTAAACTTTTAGCTTTTAAATATGATTTTGGACATATTATAGTGCTATACTATTATCAAAATAGTATTAACTTTCCCATGTTTCATATTTCAATACATTTTAAAAAGCAGGTTAAAAATACATGTAGGCTAAGGAGGGGATCTAAGAATATAAATTTGACAATAGGGTTGCAGTGACAATGGGATTCACACAGGAACTAAGTCTTCATTAGTCTTTTAACAGGAGGACAGGTAGTTATGAAGAGATGTTATAAAGGAGAATCTACAGGACTTGGTACCTAAATGTAGTAAGGAAAATGGTAATCTCAGCTGGCAAGGCTGACCAGAGTGACAGGATAATAAGAAGCCAGACTACGTGGAATGAGAATCAATTTGGAGCATTCAATTTGTGGTGCTGCTGAAAACTGAGCTGCTTTCTGCAGCATAGCAAGACAGCAGAGGGGTGTGTTTAGTAAGAGAGGAGATAAAAGTTCAGAAAAGGAACCACATGCCCTATAAAAAGTACCAGAATAATAGTTCTCTCTGGTTTAAATTCAAGTAACAGTGTAGTAAAGATTGAGTCATATTACACAGGTGAATAAATTTGAAAATTTGTATAGCAAACTTTTTCACATGACAAAAATCCACTCTCATCCCTATCAAATGAGTATCCCATAGGGTAGCTTAAGAGTCTTTTGTCCCTGAAGTCAAAACCTTAAAGAAATCTGACCCCTATGGCTGATGATAACAGCTCCATAATTAGAGCAAAGTAATTACCTGTAACACAGGTCTTCCAAAAATCATGGCTCCTATTTTCGTTTTTTATAATCTAACCTTTGGGCTCTTCCTGAAGAAGAAAAGAAGAAAAAAGATAAATACTACATCTTACAGCAAGAGCACAAGTTTATCAGTCCTAAATTCATTATGTGCACTCATATATTTACACAGTCCCCAATTTCAACAACACAGCAACATCTTTGCCAATTTGAACACCATCCCCTCCCCCAAAATCTCAGCTTTCTGATGCCACTTCCTCCTATATTTAAAAACAAAAAACAAAAAAAAAAACTGATCCTGAATTAATCCCACTTCCAATTCACTGTCATATTTCACTGAAATGCAAGCTTCCTTAAGAGAGATATTTTTGTCAGATTTATTCACTGCTATACAAACTAAGTCAAATTTTCCCAAAAGGGAACCTAACCCATTGAGTTTGATTCGGTTCTCGTCCAACTCAGTTTGTGACCAGAATCATGGAGTCAAGTTCATGAACCGAGGTACACAGTATTCTAAAAGTTCTAAAACTGTTCCTAATGTTAAGGGCTGCATAAATATTAATGCTTTTAAGGGGCATAAATCTGAAATGTATTACTGCGAGAGAAAAAAATACTGCATTATCGCCAGCAAAGACCGAGCACCGCGGAGACCGGGATTCCCCCCGCTCCACTCGCCGCCGGGATGGGCAGAAGCCCTTACCCAAAGGTGGCGCTTACGCCCGATAACATAGGAGAGCCAGAGAAAACAATGCACGTTCCCCAGCAGCGTGGTTCCCTCTTCAGTCCCTCACCTGACGCGCCAAGCAGCACCTCCTCTGACTAGGAAACTGCTTCCGGTTCACAGAAAAAGCGGTTCCAGACAAGAAAAGCTCTCCGCAGCGTGCGCTGTAGAAATGGTACCGGCTGACACCACGGGAAACACATCCCCTTAATAGGAGCGTTCCGGAAGCTTCTGTCCAAGCGGAAATGGGTTGATCAACGCCGCCAAGTGGTGAGTTCCGCAGATTTCAAATTCCCTTCAGAGGAAATTAGGAGGCTCTCAGCTGGGCCTAGGTCAGGGCTAAATAGTCGAAAGTAACAGAATAATAGCTCCACCCTCTGGAGGAACAAAAATCCAGCCCAGTCCTCCTAAACCCCTGAGAAAATCAGGTAAACAAACGAATAGAGAAAAGTTGAAGCCGCAGAATTTAAACGGGTGCCAAAAAAATTGGCAGTCAAGATAAATTATATTTACAGTAATATCTCTGAAATTCAAAATTAATGTAATCCGTGAAGTACAAATATTTAAAAATTTAAATACAGACCAGAGGCATATTGGAGCCTGAAGCACAAGACCGTGCCCTTTTATACATGTTTTTATCGTCTTTTAATTTTTTCCAAAACATAAATGTAGGTGAAATACTTAAAAAAGATTAAACTAGATGTATCAAAACATTAATGCTTATTTAAACAAAAATAGAGTTACTGTATAATTTTACTTTCCTGTCCTTAATGAAAGTAAACTAATCAGTATTTTCAAAATCTTTTGCTTCTCACTTCAGTGGAGAGACTTGCCATGCCTGACAATTTTTCTTGACCTAGTGACAGTCTTCAATACAGTAACTGTCATTAACTTCAGCTTACTAATCTTTAATTTAAAATGCTTCAGTAAGACTCAGTGCCATTATTCCCCCACAAAATACTCCCCCTTACTTTGAATATTTGTGCCATCATTCTTGCCACCTTATGAGTTTACTGCAGTATAACATGGACAATAATCTCAAAATACTCCCCATTGCTTCTAACATATTTAGCCCATCATTCTTAACACTTTCTAAAGCAATTCTAGTTCTTGTTTGTATCTTTTTAGTTTTTTTTTTTTTTACCCATACATGTTTGTGATACATTTTGTCATAATCATTTTTACTTCCCCTCCCCTCCCACCCTTTTGTCTCTCCAGATCTTCTTATCTTTAAAATTCTAGTTATTTTGTTCATTCTGGGCTTTTACCAATTTAAAAATAGTGCATTGATGCATTTTTAATCTTCATTGATGAACTTTTTGGTGCCATTAAATGTTGCCTTATTTACCCTAATTGTTTACCTTGTGAGAAAAATAATGTCTGGAGCCCCACAGATTGTAGAATCCAGTCCTACAAGTGGAGAAGGGTGTGGCTTTTTCCCTTCTCTCCTGATCCCTGAACTACACAGACTGTAGAGAAGAAAGGAAGCTGCATGTTTCTAACAAACACATTGCCTCCTTAGGTCCAGTCTTGGGGAAAATCTGAGCTATTGACTGCCTCCTGAAGGTCTGGCTCAGTAACTGGAATATTTTTAATTGTTTATTTCCATTCACTTACACTTTTACAAAATTGAGTTTCTGAAACACCATGTTATACTGGCTTCAAGACTTGCATTGGCATTAATACCATGTCCTATCATATTCTATTTTTGCTTTTAAATTAATTTTTCTAAATCCTTATAACTGTTGGAAAATTTCAGCAATTCTGGCTAAAGTGATTACTAGCATGTATTTTAAGATGATTCAAAAGCCAGTCTAGCAATATTTTGTTATCATAGGGTATTACAGGCCATTTTAAAAATTTAAAACATCAACCTGACAATTTGTGCAATTTGAAGTGAAATTATATTTCTCTTAAGAGATAAAAAGTCTTAATTGTTCAGCCTGGAAAATTGACACTTGTCTGTCAGTACTCACTTTTATAAAGCTTTAGACAAATGGCTTTTCTAAATTGGTCCATGTGTTAAAGCTTTGGAGAAATACTTGTCTGGTCTGAATTTTTTTTTTTTTTTTAATCCCAGGGATCAAACTGAGGACCTTGTGCTTGAGGCAGGTGGTGGCACCACTGAGCTAAATCCCCAGTCCTGACCTGGTCTAAATCTCAAGATTATCTGTCAATATTTTAAGGTGAATATCAGGAATTGTGTTTAGAATACATCTTTTTAAAAGCAATATGTTTACTTTCCAAAACATTTAAACTTCTTTACAAAATATTTAAATTTAACTTCTTTAATGTCAGCAGTCCAATGATGTAAAATAACAATTATTTGAGTTATATCATGAACTGTGTGCAAAAACAGAATTTACTTAGGCAAAAAATGAATGTCAAGCTGAAACAGAAGGGATGAAATCCTGAGCCCAGTGAAAACTCTATTTCTCTTATACTCAATCCTATCTACACAACTATGTGCTATTTTGTTGACTGTTACCATGGAGCCCAGCAGAGAAAAAGGGTGATACACCAAAAATTATCTAGCACCAGGCCATTCAGGTGTGAAAAGAGGCTCTAAGGAATACAGTGGAGAAGGAAACAGTGTCTCTTCTAGAAATTGTCAGTACTGGAAAGGACAAGAATAATGGCTTACATCACATACACTTGGTATGTCTGTTTCCGAGTCACAAACTGAGGTCGACTTTATGCTATACTGCAGGAAAAATTGGAAAGGCAGAGGGGTAGGGATGTGGCAAGAGATAAATACCCTGTTTTAAGCCTTGAATAAAAAAATAAACAAGGCAATAGACTATAGGAAGAACTATGCCACAATTAATTGCATGGAAAGAATTTCCATCTGCCCGACAGAAAAGTGGCAGGAGGGTTCCTTTAATTAAAAAAAAAAAGCTACAAATGAAAGAAAATCTGGCATCAGAAAAGCCATAAACACGTTGCCTTCAGTAAGATGATACAAATAGAAATTGTGAAATATGGTACCTTAATAGCCAACATTATTTTATAACCAAGCCTGGCCATTATTAGCTTTTGGATTTGCGAAGCTAAGCCTTGCTGCCAAGACATGTTACTCCCTCCTAACTCAAGAAACATTTTCCAACATGAATTTCTTCGTTCCATGTTACAAGGAAATGTGCTTTATCCATATTTAGTTCTGGACAAAATAAAACCTTTATTTACAAATATTCTGTCTTTTAAAATGAATACAGAAAAGGATTTGAATAAAAATATGCTCAAAATCACAGGAAACAGAGCCAAATTCTGCTAAAATCAAGAGAAAGTGGTGATAGCCAGAAAATCAAAACCAATCAGCAGCCATAAGAGGGTTAAAACAAATTGACCGAGACAGAATAGCCACTATCTCTGGTGGTTTTTGGTTCACAAGTTAATAACTAGCTCTAACATCTCCACACTATTTGTGGTCTTATTTCTACCCACCTCCTATAATGGTGGAGCCATTCATATAATAAATACAATATCAGAGAGGTCGCCTCCAATCACAAAATACATTAAGAAAACTGTAGCTCAGAGAGGCTGGAAATTCTCCTTTAGAAATAGTGTCATATAACATGGGAAGCACTGTCTAAATCCAGGCACATCTTCTTATAAGGTCTTACTTCAAATCAAGCCAAATATTCTTTCTTTCTGGGATCTTTGGTGAGAAGTTGGCAACAGCACAACCCTAAGGCTATTTTATTCTTTTAGTTCAGATACTTATGTATTCTCACTTATCATAAAATGTAAGAAATATATAAGTTGTTGTTAGGTAGCATTAGGATTATAATAGGAAGAAAACGGCTACCAATTATTGTACCTGAGACCATTGCTAATAAGAAACTTTAGTAGCTTTATGATCTTGGCTCAAATGTTCTTTAGGGTGACTTGAAATCTGGACCTTCGAGTGGGTTAGTTTTTTCTTTTTTTTTTTTTGTACCAGGGATTGAACTCAGGCCTTGTGCTTGCAAGGCAGGCACCAGAACCACTGAGCTAAATCTCCAGCCCAGTTTTTCCATTTTGTAAGAGGAAGTTTGAGTTATCAATATCTTTTTCTGGAGGCTTTATGGAATAAAGCTGGCCAGTGTGAAGTGAGTTATTATGGGGAAGGTTCCCCACAGGTAAAGCTTGAAGATTTTGCACTCTTTCTTCCCACCAGGAGTTTTGTGCTTCTAGATGTTTTTTGGCCCACAGAGTCCTCCGAGTCGCTGTGATGGGTGTCTCCCTGGGAGAACTGGGTGTGCTGGACTTCTCTCAGTTGCCTGCAGACAAAGGAAGAAAGCATAGGTTACTTGTTCTCCAACTAGAGACAGAGTTTACAATCACAACTTATGCCAATTTCTCCTTTACTTTTATAGGAACAAACCTGAGCTATATGTAGAATGGAAAATTCAGTTCCTATGATTATGACGGTTATAAGGATGACAGACACTTGCCATTGCACCTGGTAGACTCAGTTTCCCAGATTCTATTAATTGGGTCATAAATGTTCTTTAAAATTAAAAGACTTAGGTGAATGTACTCTCCAGGCTGTATATATATATAGTCAAATCTGGGCTGCCACCTGTTTTGGTAAACAAAGTCTTATTGCAGCACAGCCACTCATTTAGATAGATGGAATGAATCATAATCAATGGCTATTTCTACAACAGCAGAGTTGAATCATTACAACCAGAGGTCACATGCCCCACAAAGCATAAAATATGTATATCATCTAGCCATTTGTAGAATGAGCTTGCTAACCCCTACTCTAGACAGTTATAAGATGCCGTCTTTCTCATCACTAATGATGACTGGTGATAATTAATTGGCTATCCAGAGTTGGCCTCACAATTTACATATACTACTCTTTAAAAGGTCCTTGTATTCATGAGGAGGACATATGAATAAATACTTAGTTTTCTATCTGGAATAATGAAACTCAAAACTAAAACAAAAAATATTAAGTGCCTTATTGGGCATAATTCCTGACTAAATGATGAGACTCTTTGCAATTTATGGTCAAGAAATCAGTTTGGAGACTAAGCTTTCAAACAAATCTTTCCAAGATGGATTTTTGTATCCAAGAAAAGATGGACTTGTAAGTTTATTTTATGAAAGGACCATTTTATTTTGAGACAGGGCCTCACTATGTAGTGAGACTGACCTGGAACTCACTGTGTAGCCCAGGCTGGTCTCGAACTCACAGTGATCCTCCCGCCTCAGCCTCTTAAGTGCTGGGATTACAGGCGTGCATCACCACACCTGGCTGAAAGGACCATTCTTTTATTTCCTACTGTATTTCTAACAACATAGTATTATAATGATCACTTAAAATTTTCTTCAGAATACTGCCCAACATCGCTGCCTGACCTACTCTGACATCACCCCATCTAATCCACAATTTGTTTCAAGAATGGATTAATAAATAAACTTTGGGCCTACATGAAAGACTGAACTGCTCAGAAAAAAAATCTATTCTCTAAACACAAACTAGGACAGTGTGTCTGCAGGCCTATCCCTGAAACACAGTGAATTTCTAAAATAGTGTCTACTTATCTAAGGTTGTCTTACATTGTGATCGCCATCATTTAGATAACCTGATGACCTTCAGAACCCCAAGTTTTCTATACCAATGGCATTTTATTGTATCCCTCCTTCTTTCTTCCTTTATATTACCTGGAATTTTCTCTCAAGCTGCCTAGCCACAGAGCTGTTTAGCCTCAAGCTACAAAGGGCCTCATTGGGCCTATATATTACAACATAGAATATGCATAATCTTGAATCTAGAGAGACATGCCAAGCTAGATTTTCTGTTGTGAATAGTTTGCAATAGATTCTTTGATTCTAAGACCCAAGTCTACCTTTCCAGCATGGCTATCTTAGACTTTTCCAAGTTTAGCTGCTGCTGGAGCTCCTCAGTTGTCTTTAGGGAGGGCCGGAGAACTTGACTTCTAACCAGAGCTGCTGCAGAAGGTCTCTCCCTGGGATCAGGGTGGATCATATTCTGATAACATAGGGCCAAAAAGAAGGAAACAGAAGCTTCATTTTGGGGAAACTCTCACCACTGAGACCAACTCCAGCCCAGCCTTTTCCAGTGAATTTTGTGAAACCCTGCTTCTTTTCTAAGTAGTAGGAAGGGATAACTGAAAAAATATCTCTGTCTTGGACAGATCAACCCTGTCTGGTAACATCAGTTGTCCACACCTTGACCTTGTTTTTAAGTACTGTTTCATATTTTAGAGCAGGGTGGCTGACTACCTAGTCCAATGGCTCGATTTTAATGTGAAAAACCTGAGTCACTACCTAAAACGTGGTCTAAATTATTGGAAGGCCCAAGCCCAAAGCCCAGTTGACTTAAATCTTCATTCAACTTACTTTCTACTGTATCTTGCTCCATTATCTCCTAAAGATGACCCACTATTATAATATTCCTAAAGCATTTGTATCAAGGAAAAGGATTCTGTACCCCAATTTGAATATGGTCAAAAATATCTAGATGGATAGATACATATCAATTAAGTGTCATATAATGAAGGAAACACTGAACCTTCCACTTGAGGACCAAGTTCAGAACAGTTCCACAATTTACTTTATAAATTTTGATGGAGATCAGATTCTCTTACCCAAGTTCTGGGAGGACAGTACTCTTCTGGAACTACTGTGAGAATGAATGAACTAACACACGTGCACAGTTTTGCCTAGCACAGAGTCAGTATTTAGGTAACCAGTCAGTACCAACTATACAGTGGTACCCCGGTTCACAAGCTTCTTTCCACAATTCTGGTTGCAAACCAAATTGGATGCAAACTAACTCAAATTCAGTGATTAGGTTCAATGTTGACCTTATGGGGAAATTTGTTTCAGTTCTCATCCAGTTTTGTTTGCAACCAGAATTGTGGAAAAAATTAAGTTTGTAAACTGAGGCCCCACTGTATCTAAGAGCAGTTTACCTATACAGATTAGACTGAATAAAAGACCACTGCATGGAAGAGTTCACCTCCTTCCAGGAAAGCAAAAGAAAGTCAGGAAGAACAGGTTCATAATTGCATATGAAATTTTGAGATAAACTAATCCAATCCTCAAAGGAGTAGATAGTTTAAAGCTATTTTAGGAATCCTAAGAAATGCTGTTTCCTAATCAGTGAAGGAAGTCATATGTACATTTTTTACCAGTTATATAATTATAGAAAGATAATCCCCTGGCTTTAAATAGATATATAATACAAATATAAACAAACTTTAAAAAATACAAACCCTTGGATAACAAGGGGACTGTGAGAACTCCCTTGTCATTTTCCCTTTTGCAAGGACAGAGGGCATGAGTCTGCTTTTTAAAAATTACTAATTTTGGCCATTTTTGCAACAATAAGCCTGCAGTTAAGTGATTTACCCACAAGGCGAAAGTCAGGAAAAATTCAGAGTTTCCACTTTCTGAACTCTATGCATCTTCAAAATTAGGGCTATGTGCTTCCTTGTTCTGTCTTTTAACTAGTTTATCAGGGTAATGTAGACTCTTCCCTAAAATGGACCAAGCAATAAGATAGACTTGTAGTTTAAGAAGGTGAGGGATCATGTGCTCTAAGGATAAAAGTCATAGGTACATTTTGTTTTCTCAGTATGATTCTAGAGTTGAAGTGTAAGGTTTTCATTTCATCTTTTTGTTTCATAATATCTTCTTTTTCTTGTCCCTGCGCATATTCAGATATCATAAGTACAAGCAGTAAGGCTAGGGATTTAGCTCAGTGGTACCACACCTGCCTCATAAGCACAAGGTCCTGAGTTCAATCCCCGGTACAAAAAAAAAAAAATACAAGCAATATACAGATTTTTAAGTTGACATCATGCATTTTTTTCCATTAACTCAATAATTGGTGATATTTTCAGATATCAGTAAAGTAGCTTATACTTTTTTAAAGACACTTGAAATTCACTCTTTTGCTAATATCATCACTGTTACCACTGGCAATCATTAAAACCCTGAATTAGGAGAGGGAAAAATCAGACATCATTTTAGAGTTAACCAATTTTTAACTCTGAGGTAGGCATGTGGCACACGTCTGTAATTCCAACTATTCAGGATGCTATGCAGTAGGATTGCCTGGACATCTTAGCGAGACCCCATCTCAGAAAGCTGGGGAGTAGCTCAATGGTAGAGCAATTGTATACACAAAGTTCCCAGTTCAATCCCCATTACCACCAAAATATAAGTAGGTAAATAAAATTAATTGTGAATACAAGACTCAAATAGCTACTATAAACCTTGAGTTTTTGCCTCTGAACAATGAGATTCAACCTCCCTATTTTACAGGGTTATTAGGAAGAGTAATGATTTAAGTACTTTTAAACAATAATGAAATATTTCATGTCTTCTCAGTTTTCCTGAGAAGTTTCAATCTGTCCCATTCTGGACTTCTTAGTCACATTTCCTTTTTCCTTCTGTTCATGGAATTACCAACAGCTCCACTTTCCTTTTCCCCCTATTTGCCCTCACAGTTCTAAAAATAAACATTTCATCTTCTGTTCATCTCATGAGATATGTCACCTTGAGCAAATTGTAAAAATCTTCTGTGAGCTCTTGAGGAATGGCCGGAAAGTTACCCTTGCGGATGTGATGCCACGCTACACCACAGGATGGCAAAGTGTCTGCTCCTGCAGCCACTGCAATTGTTAATCCTAGGGCAAATATATCACCTTTGGGAAGATTTTGGTAATCCTGCAAAATAAAAGGGAGAAAGGCCAGGTAATTTGCCAAGTGGAATGAGTCTAATAACTGGTAGGAGAGATTCATCTCAGTACACATAAGCTCTAAACACTATGAACCAAATCATATCTACTACAACTAATGATTTTAAGAAGATAGAGGGAACATAAATATACCTTATTAAACCTGCTGTCCCTGAAGAATCTAAGAATTTCATTTCTATTTTACTTGGTCAGGCTCAACAAGGCCTGGCACATGCATCAATGGATCAAAGGAAACATTGGTTTTCCTCCTGATTATCGCCCAGGAAGAAGTTACAGTTATATTATTCCTAGGTCAGACCCAACAAACATCTTAAAAGATGGGCAGTGGCCAACGGTCATTTTAGTGCCAGAGGTGGTGGTATTGCCCCAAGGATAAAAGCATGATAAAGATGGCTGGACCTACGTGAGCACTAGGAGGCAGATTCCTTCTAAATAGGCAACTCATAAGGTCAGAAATTCTAAGAAATACTAAAAACAATGAAGGACTTGTATGAATATTGTTTCATTCTTGACTGAGCCAGCTTTCCCATGCTTTTTGGAAGAGTGTCTCTCCTACATTTGGTCTCTGTTCTGAATAGGAAAAGAGATACTGTATGTTTACATTATAAATAGACACTCAATTTCTTGCCCTCTGAGCCTTCATTTTAGATTCAGAAGGTTCCATGGGGTTGTGGCCCCCTTACTCAAGGGGCTAAGACTGAGAAGGATCACAAGTTCAAAGCCAGCCTGGATAACACAGCAAGACCTTGTCACAAATAAATTAATTAATTAAAATAAATAAAATTCTCTATTTCCCTAATCTATACCTCTTGTAAAATCTCATCAGCTAGGAAGCGAACATCTCCTTCTTCCACTTGAGGTTTGCTTATTGATGACACATGGCCCAGGTCACCTGAAAAAAGAAAATAAAGAGAAAAGAAATAGATCTCTTTAAAAGTATGTCCTTAAAACTGGGAGTCATCAATATAGGTTTCACAGGATAAAAGTATACTTGTAAGGATAAGGAAGACTCACCAATTTTATATATTACACTGGCAGAAAGAAACCAATCAGCTTCATTTTCATCCTCTTCTGGGACTCCAGGAGAATCACTTTGCATGTTATAACAAATGAAGATGTTACCTGAAGAATACAGAATAGACATAAGTAATGATTCCTAAACTTCTTCACCCCAAAGATTCTTTTTCTGGATTTGGCTTTCCCTTCTCTTTTCTTGTGTGGTTTTAGCAAGACTACAAAGCCTTTTTCCCCTAAGAAATCTCTGTTGCATTGCAACATCAAGTGATTAGTAACTATTAATGTATTTATGACCTCATATATTGTGAAAAAACTGTTGTCTCAAAATAACACACACACCTATACAGTAATAACAACATGCTTAGGTTTCACACAGACAAGTGATGAAGCCTTCCATTTCTGTCACTTTTATTAATGCTGAATTAGAAAATGTACAGCACTAATTAAGTGATCAAAACAGCCAGTTTACTGCCATTTATGTAGTAAATTAAATGTCTACTTATTTTGCCCTTGCTATATGGGATAATCTTTTCTATGCACTGAAAGAAATTTTTCAGGAGAAAAGAAATTGAAGAAAAGAATCAGCATACTCTCTCTTGAATACTTAATAAACACACAGGCTCAGATTTTGATGAACAAAACATTGCCAGAAGAACAGAAGAAACCACACTGACTTGGCTTGATGTCCAGGTGTACCATGCCAGAGTTATGGATATACTTAAGTCCCAAGGAAATTTGCAGAAGAATATCTCTGAGTTTTGGCTCTTGGAAATGATTACCAGACTTCATGTTTTCAGATATAGCAGTTTGCAAGCTCCCACCTGGGAAAAAACAGAATAACCCACAGAATGAGAAAATGAGTGTGAGTCTTATAGATGCAAGCATAGTAAATATTAAATAAATTTCTCATGACTACTGTCTCAAGTCTAGGTTATTTCAGTGCAAAGAATGACAGTCTGTCTTGTGTCTATACTATAGACCTGTTGGAAAGAAGAAATGAAGGGCTTTTAAAGAGAAAAAGAAAATTCTAGTATCTTAGATGTCCAAAATGAGGCTCTACAGCCTCAAGTATGTGCCAACTAACATTTTAAAAGTTTTATTGAATTACTGCCCAGAAGGCCAAACAATTCCATGTCAGTGTTAGACTAGAAGTTATAGGCCATCAGAATTTTAATGTAATAGATTGTAAATCCATTTTTAAAAATCACAAAATGAAAACATTTAATGACTGCACACCCAAGGAAATGTTTAGCTGTATATACACCTGAATCCTACTTCAGCCACAGTATTTGTATATCAGCTGTAGATTATATTATCCTTGTTGTCAATAAAAAAGAATAAAGCCTGGATTCACATGCTGCCTGCTCTGGGACACCCATTCTAAGGTATTAGAATGCTTCAGAACACTATTTAATTAGCATTCACTGGCAGGTTCTTCAAATTACAGTGTCCCAGCTCCCGTTGATCGTTAACTTATAACTAAAGTATATATCAGAATAATAGGATCTGAGATGGTAATAAAACTTTTTATTTTTATTTTATTTATTTTATTTTATTTTTTTGGTACTGGGGGTGGAACTTGGGACCTTGTGCTTGCGAGGTAGGGGGTGGAACCACTGAGCTAAATCCCCAGCCCTGTACTAAAACTTTTGAGGAAATCTGTACCTAAAATTAACCTTTGTAAAATTGAACTCAAAGACTGATCTGTCATACTACAACAATTCAGCTCAGAAAGAAGAATTCAGCACCTTTCAGAAACCCAAGCACTACGGAGGATTCCAGTTTTCTGAGAGTCTTCTAAGAAAAGAATTTACATACTATAAAAGACTTATTAAAGAAAAGGAATTTTTTGGATCTTGTTAAAAATGTTTGCTTTTTTTTTTTTTTTTTTAACAGGATCTCAATACATAGCCCAGCTTGGCCTTGAACTTATGGTGATCCTCCTGCCTCAGCCTCCCAAGTGCTGGGATTACAGGACTACTCTCCACCAGGCCTGGCTGGATGTTGTTAAAAATGAAGTCCCTTCAGGACTAAGTTGTAGGTGAGTTTATGAGGTGTCAACAAGGAAGAAGTATGCTACATCCAATAAACTCTTGTTTTTCTTGTAGCCTAGATGATCCTTAAGGGTAGGGACCACATGTAATTCATACTTCCTGTTCCAAGACCTGGAACATAATAAATATTTTCTGACTTGAATGTTCATCCTGGCAACAGAGAGAAGACAAAGACTAAGTTAAGGATCCTTTAAAAGTAGGGAAGGAAAGATGCTTCCTGGGAGTACTTAGGAATCCTTTAATGTGTTCTTGTAGATATTAGGCAGAGATGTTTCTGATCTACTGTAGAGCTACAGTATTTAGTAAAGACAACTGAACAAGTACTAGCTCCACTTTTAAGTGGAGTTCTGGGTGTAAGATTAAATTAGCTAAGTAACAGCTAACAATATTAGAAGTTATCGAAAAGTACTCATTTATCAATTAGCTAAAGATGATCATCCACCACTCATAAGAGAGCATAATTCACTGTTTATGTGTTTGTTTTACTAAATAATGTCAGTAAGGAAGTGTTAATAGACACAACAATTCTTAATCAACTTACACTGGGACCTTAGCTCCATACCCCAAGGTAGCCCCTGGTGGTGACCTCTGTACCTACAAGCATTATGCCCTAGTGGGAAATCCCCAATTCCTGGACAGTTCTTCTCAAACCGTCTTTGTGAGATGGGCTTAGTATCTCCCTTGAAGTAAAATAATAGTACTTCACCCACTTGGCAGAAAGAAAAATTTTTAAACCCTTTTAACAGACATTTTTGTATTCCTCTCTGCTGATAGAGCCTAACATGTCAAAACAAAGAGCAAATGATGAGCCCAGCCTTGGCTACATAGTGAGTTCAAGGTCAGCCTGGACTACCTGACAAGATCCTGTCTCAAACAAACGAAACCAAATTATTTACAACAATAACATAAAAAGAAAATCAAGACAAGAAAAAAAATGAAATCAAGAATTTAATAGACATATTTGGTTCATAGATCTGTATTTTTGCAATCTTCATTTTATGTTGCTACCTATATAACAAGCATATTCTTAGTAAAGTTGTTCCTTGTTTGGTGGAAAAATACAACTGATATTCATAGCAGTCCACAAAGAACACTGACTTGGATGGCACATCACTCAAATAAGTGTGAGAACCATCATTCTAGAACAGCAGGCTTTGTGACACTTCATTTATATGTGTTGCAAGAAAATACTGCCTTTAAAGAGAGATTAATAGTCTAATCCTGAATCAATTAGAATCCTAGGGTTTGTAGAAATCAAGTTTACATTGGAGGCCCTTTAGTTTTCTGAGGATGACCTAGAAGTGAATTGTAGAGAAGTTTGGCAAGGGTAGAGGAGAAAAGGGAGCATTTGATTGGTTCAGGGCTCAAGAGGGACAGTAAGAGAAATTGGACAGTAAGGAAAATTAGATGCAGTAGTAATCATCTAATTTATAGCCTTAAGTTATCTGAATTGCCCACTTTCTATTAAATTAAAACTATAAGTGTACACATTCCAGCCTAACTTCTTATAGGCTAGGTAGGGGGAAGGATAGGCAGTGGAGAGATAAAAAATAAGGAGGAAGAAGTATAAAGTAAGGTAGAGGGTGTAGGGAAGAAAAGAGTAGAAAGAATGAGGCAGTGGAAAGGTGCAAAGTATGATTATGTTTTGCAAAACCAAAATTAAATTTTAATTGCCAAGTACTCCATGAAGTTGGTGGCCAAGTTGGTGAAGAGATGATTACCTATAATTGCCCATGTCCAATTTGAAATCTGCTGCCGGGTTTTCAAGGCCCTCTCTACTCCCCATCTTTCACCTTGCTGATCTCATCCCCTAGGACAGGGTCACTGCAATTATGACTCCTACTCTCTGCTAGAGCAGACCCACTCCCAATACCAATGTCTCTGTGTGCTATTCCAACATTTCCTAATGTTCCCTATAAATTTCCTAAACCCTAGAAATCCTTATGCAAAGTTCTCATTCAAGTTACATCACCTTTATGAAATTTTCTTGAACTACTCCAATAGCAGCTATTATTGTATCAGGTTGTAGCGCTATGATAATATTTGGTATATATCATTGCTAATCCTCAACTACCCCTTTACGTAAGTATTGACACCCTAGCAGTTACACAACTAGTAGTGAGTAGCAGATCTGGGCTTGAACCCTGATTTGCCTGACTTTAAAACCCAGGTCTCTTCCAGCACCTCTTTGCCTGCATCTTCTCTGACTGCTTGGTTATGCACAGTTGAACCAACTAGTTTTGCACCTAGTTATCTCATGTAGTCATCTTAACAGTTTAAGGGGAGCAAAGCTCCTCAAAAATAAGTACTTTATCTCATTCTAGAGTATTTCCCTGCCTAGTACAGTTTCAATCCTATAGAAGGTACTCAGATGCTGAAATAAATTATAATTTTTAATAGGAACAATTTTAAGCTTTTTGAAAATTCTGAAATCTTTACATTGTTCTCAAATCCAGTCAAAAATCAGTTTTGCTTTATTAATTTGTATTTGATAATTATCTTTGTTAATGGTGAAAGGCCATGAACTAAAATCAATCTTTCTTGTAGAAAGAGAAAGGATGAAAAAGAATAGGGATACAGGTTTCAGAAAGAAGGCATTAGATAAGGAAGATGATTAAGAAAAACCTCAATCTCACAGTCGTAAGCATAAGGAAAGGATTCATTCTTTACCCCAGACAGGCTATTAAGGGGATTTGGTGTGAGCTTGTAAGAGGGGAAAAATCCTACAAATACATGTAAGAATGTAAAGAAATCTTATCTATAAGGAAACTAGAGGGCTGCCAAGTCATTATTTTTCAGGATGTGTGAATCACTTTTCTTATCAACTTATCTACTTATTACTTACAAGGATGAAGCTCTAATACTCAAAAGCCAGGCTGGACATATGTACTTAGGGCCATCTGATGCTTACTAAAATAGCTAAAAGACAGGCTATACTATTAAATCAAACCAGAGTGAGTGTGTTTTTCAAATATTACTGTGGCAAAATGTGGACTGCTACTCCTAAAGTGTGGTCAAGCTTTTATTAAATTTGTAGTCTACTTTCCCAATGAACATTTTGATGAAAAAATATCTCCAAGGCTAACAACACATAATTGTTGTTATTGCAATCTCTTAATCCTAGATTAAAATTATGTTAAACCAAAGTACTACTATGATCTGAGTAGCCCTAGTTGTCATCAGTTGCTGTGCAGTCCTGAAGGACTTAGAAGAATATATCTGAAGTCACTAAGTTCTGTCCCAGTGCTTCACCCCATGCCTTCATCTGGGGGAGAGCACTAAAGCTCAAAGGTAAGATGTAGGAAGAAGCATGAACAATCCCCCAGTTTTCGAATCCACTTGATTACTCAAAAGTCGTTTCTGTATCTGAAACCTTAACTCTTCCCAAAATGATATCATTTATATTTTTCAGAATACCTAGCAAATGGTAAAATAAATATTTACCATTTAATCTACTAGGACAAAATTTCCCTGACTGTTATGTGCAAAGAGAATGAGTTATCTGTATCAGATATGTACCATCTTTGAAAGAAATGTATGTGCTCCCAGAAATCCCTTTTCAACTCAACTATTTTCTCAAGCTGTCTGTTTCCAAGCAAAATTATGGTACAGACACTTTAGGCATAACATAACTGTACTCAGCATAAACTATGAGAAGGCAGAGTTTATTTCTAAAGATTTACAAAGTAGTCTCTGGCTGTGTAGATACTAGTCCACACACTCACCATTACTGTACTCATTCTGAATGATCACACAGTCATCTTCTGCCCATGAGGAATAGTAGCGTACCACATGGGGGTGATGCCCAAGCACTGCGTGAGCATGAACTTCCCGCAAACACAAATTCCTGAGACAGAAAATCATGGGAAATATTAATCAAGATCGTATACATTAAAAAGTTTTTTAAGGGCTGGGGATTTAGCTCAGTGGTGCCACTGCCTGCCTCACAAGTACAAGGTCCTGAGTTCGATCCTCAGTACCAATAAATAAATAAACAAACAAAAAGTTTTTTGAAAGGGCCAGGATTTACCTCAGTGGCACCGGGACTGCCTAGCAAGTGCAAGGTCATGAGTTTGATCCCTGGTACCAAAAACAAGAAAAACAAAATTTAAAGATATGAGGCATTAACAATGGCAGAACAAAAGCTAGGTGTGGTTATATACACCTCTAATCCCTGCACTCAGGAGGCTGAGGCAAGAGGATTGCCATGACTTCAAGGCAAGCCCAGGCTACACAGTGAGTTCAAGGCCAGCCTGCACTCCATAGTAAGACCCTATCTCAAAAAATAAAAATAAACAATGGAAGAGCATTTACTGGGTACTTTTTACATGCTTACTATTTTATAAGGTGTGGTAAAAATATAGTGATTATTTAAATTGTAAAAATTTGTTACAATAAGATACATTATCACTAATCCCCTAATACTCCCCTAAAATATGTTCATTTTGAACACATTTATCCCATCATTCTTGCCACTTTCTGGAGCAGTTCTGGGGACCTAGAATAGCAGAAGAAATCCTGAGTAACAAGAACAAAGCAGGAAGCCTCATAATCCAATATTTCAAATTATACTACAAAGCTACAGTAATAACAAAAATAAAGCCCCATATTACAAAAAAAAAGTCATAGAATAGATTAGAGAATGCAGAAGCAACTCCAAGCACAATCCCTTTAACAAGTGGCATGGGAAAACTGGCTGTCCACATGGAGAACATTGAATCTAAACCAGTATCTCTCACCATGTACTAAACTAAGGTCAAAATGGATCAAAGATCTAAATGTAAAATGGAAGCATTTAATCTGCTAGAAGATAAAATGGGTGAAGTTCTTGATAGAGGTGAAAGCAGAGACTTCCTGAGCAGAACCCCAATCGCACAGGAAACTGTACCAAGAATCAAGTGGGATCATAACCAGTTGAAAAGCTTCTTCACAGCTTTTCAGAAACAGTGAGGAGATATATTACAGAATGGGAAAAATTTTCCAACTATTCCTTGGATAGAGGACTAATAGCTAGAATATATATGGAAATTAGATTCATCCATAATGAAGGACCCAATCAAAAAATGGGCAAATGAACTGAACAGCTACTTTTCAGAATAAATACAAATGGCCAATAAATACATGAGAAAACATTCAAGAGCTTTGCCCACTTGAGAAATGTGAATTAAAACAATGAGATTCCATCTAATTCCAGAAAGAATGACTGTCATCAAGAAATAACAATAAATGCTGGTGAGGCTGGAAGGAAAAAGGAACCCTTCTATACTGTTGGTGGGAATATAAACTAATACTACCGTTATGGAAGTCGGTATGAAGATTCCTCAAAAAACTAATGCTAGAAATTCCATTCAACCCAGTTATTCCCATCCTAGGTATCTTCCACACAGAGTTAAGAGACATATTGCAGCACAATATGTATACCCATATATATAGCAACACAATCCTCAATAGCTAAATCTTGGAAGTGGACTTTATGTCCATCAATAGATGAAGAAAATGTACACAATGGAGTACTACACTGCTTTGTAATAAGAAAGGATAAACGACTCATTTTGGGGAAAATGGATGCACCTTGAGACAGTAGTGGTAGGTGAAATGCATCAGACATACAAGCTTGGGTATCATATGGCTTCTTATAGGAGAATCCCAAAATATAAACAAGGAGCAAAATAATAGCTGAATAGTGTGGATAGTGCAAAATAGGGAGATGGGTCTTTTGCAAATGGGAGAAAGGCCTAGAGATAGAGGGGGAAGGGACTGGGAAAGAATTAAAAAAAAAAGAATTGGGATGTATTGTATGAGTATACCAGCTCCAAACAAGGAATATGATCATTGTGTACTGCAGACATTACTAATAAAAAAATAAAAGTTAAATGAAAAAGAAAATTGCAAGTAGGAGTGGGATAAATGTGTTTGAAACTAGGGAAATATTTTGAAGAGAATTAATAGCTGCATGCCTTTTACTGTAATCTTAAATATAAACATTCACCATATTTTTATCACACCTCAAATCTCATTTAATATTTACATCTACTTAGTAAGATATAATGGATGTGATGAAGTCACTAGAAAAAAAATGACAACCAGACATGATGCTGCACACCTGTGATCCCAGCACTTGGGAGGCTGACACAGGAGAATCACGATGAGTTCAAGGCCAGCTTGGGCAACATAATGAATTCAAGGCTGATTTGAACTACATGGAGCAACCCTGACTCAAAATAACAACAAAAAAGTGGGGCCAGGGATTTAGCTCAGTAGTTCCGCTGCCTGCCTTGCAAGCTCAAGGACCCGAGTTCAATCACCACTACCAAAAAAAAAAAAAAAAAAAAGATCAAACACCAAAGTCTACTGTTTTTTATTGAACATATCATATGCTTAAAAAAAAACAAAGAAAACAAAAGTCTTCATTAGCAAAGACTCAGGTTCAATTTAACTGTATTACAATATAAAAACTTGAATGGGTTTAACAAGAAGGCTACCATGACACTGGATGGTAGATACTGTGATGAGCCACTACCTCCCCTAGAAAGGCTAACCTTAGCATCAGTGTTACACTCAGCCAATAGGATAGTCACAAGAACGGCCTGGAGGAAAGATATTCATTATGCAGAAGGAAAGCCTAACACAAGCAAAACACAGAATTCAGTATATTTCACTATAAAGATGAAGAATTCTAAAGCCTATAATTTTGGATCTAGTATGGTGTTATATTCAGAGTCCATAAAAAACATTGGTGGAATCTGAAAATTTGTTTTCCTTGAGATCAAGGAAGAATTTTTGAACCATTAGTTCTGGAAATAAAAGATAAACTTTTGTTAATAGTTTTTCTTGGCATATAGTCGCTGGAATGACTATTGAACTCATTACTAATACAAAGTATTAGAAACCAGAGAATTAATAATATCTTCCTACTTGGCAAGAATTTCTGATAAACTGAATAAGCACCAGAACATCATTCCATAAATCTATTCATTAAAAAAGAAACCAGTATTAGAAAGTAAAAGGCAAAGGATCCACAAAAAGTACATGATCTGTAATTATCATATTCTGTTTTAGAAAATAGCATCATTGATCTGAAGGCTCAAAAAAAAAGTTATGAATGTGAGATGACATACAATACGAGGATAATTTTTTAAAACAACAAAAAAGGAGCAAATGGTGCTTTTTAATGATATCAGTGCTGTTGAAAATATTTTGACAAGAAACAGCTCTCTGAATGCAAGTTCATACTTACAGTACATTTCAAAGGTACTCACTCATTTGATAATAGTGCCAAAGGTTTAGTAGAGCGTTTTATTGCATAAACACATCCATCCAGCCTCTTAACACACTTGTAGACTGTACCAAATTGCCCACCTCCAATTTTTTCTAATTCCAAGAATTCCTTTTCATAGCGGGAAGTCATGTTAACTCCTCGTAGAATACTTTCCTAATATATTTTAATAAAAAGGAGTTAGAATAATTCTTCCTAACCTTGTGAGCAGTAAAATTAACCATATTACGCTCCAAAATTTATTTAAATTTTCAAAAAAATCTTTTGAGCCAAATTAATTGGTTCTACTTATGTCAGTATTCACAGTAGTAATAACCCCACACACCCAATGCAGCGGGTGCTGGGTGGGGTTGGACAGGGACTCACTATATAGTTCCAGCTGGTCTTGAACTCTCTATATAGCCCAGTCTGACCTTGAACTTTCAGTGGTCCTCCTGTCTCTGCCTCCCAGGTGCCAGGATTATAGGCATGTATGTTCTTTTTAACCTTCCATACAATTCTGTACTCACCTTTTCTTACTTTTTAAAGTACTTTCCTTCATTCTATTGCTATTCTAGTCTATATGTTCTATATCTTCTATATTCTGTTCTATATTCTCTGTGTTTCTCCAAGGAACATATCTTCTCACACCCAGAGCTATTTTCCACAGCTGAAGAAATAGCAAGAAAAGTCGGGTGTGTTTAAAACAAATCCTTCCCTTGACTCTTCTCTACCTATCTCAAGGTCTGGTTGCTAATATTTTCATCTCTAATTGAATAAACTGTCTTGCTTCAATTTGTTTTCCAAAAAAACCTTGGGCTAGAGAACAAAATTATCAGATTAATTCAAAATACAGTATATGCTCAGGTAAAGCAAGTCCTCCCCTTACTGGAAAACTAGTAACATCACTTATTTCCCAGGTAATTAATAAGACCAGGCAAATCACAGGACATTTTAATCAGTTTTTCTGTCTAAAATGAAGGTCATGGCAATTATTCCAGAGAGTACTTCTGAATAGTACCTGAGAATATATAACATTCTGTTATACATATGATATGCAATGTGTACTGTAGTATAAATCCCTAGAACATAGGAAATTTTCAAATTATTATAAAAATCTCCATAAATTTATGTAAATCTAAATCCAAGATGATTTGTGTCCCAAAAAATCTTTTCCCAGTGTCCCAGTTAGCAATAATTTTTCTCTAACTTAGCAATTTAAAAATCTGGACTCTTACAGTTCATTTTTAACATCCAATTCTCATCAATCTTTATCATTTATTTGCATGATCTATAATTCCCAATGTCTTTAGCCAATCTTAAACTTGCTTTTTGTGTTTAGACTTGCTGTGCTAGTTAGCCCTCTCTCCAATTCTGAATCAAGAATTGTTTTTGCAAAATTGTTTCCCATGAGAAGTTTAAACCTCTAACAATTAAAAGAAAAAGCAAACATTAAGTTTCCATCATCAGAATACATTTAAATACTAGCAGTTATAATGTCACCTGACTTTCTTTGATTAATTGACAGTACATAGTTGTGATCACTTAGCATATAACATTTTGAGTCTTTTGTATTCTGAATATTGAACGTGATCATATTTCCCTACATTACAAACATCTTAATGAAGATTTAATATTCTACCAACTTAATACCAATTAATCATTCCTCTAATTATCAGATATTTAGTGTCACACAGTTTTGCTCTTACAATTAAGATACAATAAATATTTCTAGGGATAATATTTACAATATAGTTTTCTTAAGATTACCAGATGAGGGATACTACATCAAAGATTGTAGACATTATAAAAAACATAGGATTTTTTTTTTTTTTTGGTACCAGGGATCGAACTCTGGACCTTGTGCTTGCGAGGCAGGTGGCAGTACCACTGAGCAAAATCCCCAGCCCAATATAGGACATATTTCAGAGCTAAAATTTTACATATACATCTCTGCATCTATGCCATTTTTCTCCATTCTGTTTTTCCACTTTTGGACCCCAAAAATCCTCATTTTCCAATCACTTCTCTATCCCATAAGAGTCTAAAATTTTCCTGAATCCAAAAATGGAAGCAAAAAAAAAAACCCTTTAATTACAAAATACTCTAGATAATAGTTCAGCCATATACACATCAGATATCGCCTGGTTAAGCTTATAAACACTTACCTAGAGTCCAGATAAATTCAGTTGCAATGCAAACTGGTGAAGCTATGGGTGAGGGGTCAATGAAGGTAGAAGAGAGTCAGAAAGGAGGGAGGTGACAAGGTGGAAAGAAAGGAGAAAAAATTGAGAGAAAAAAGAGGGGTAGAGCATGAGGAGATGAGAGGAGAGGTAGAGGAAGGGAGAAAGAAGCAGCTAAAATGCCTGTGTTGTTACTGACAGTTGTACCAAAGAATCATGCTTACCTTGGGATGCAGCATTCGTTGTACTTTGCCTTTCTCTGCACCAGATTCCTCACTTAAAAAAAAAAAGTATCTATGCATGTTTATAATTATTATTAACATACTTATTACCTAGTACTGTGCTAGGTTCTGGGGCTGTTAGAATAAGACAATTCTTTCCCCTCTTTTATATGTACTTGGGGGCAGAGATAACTAGGGAATTTCAATACAAGGATGTAACAAGACATCAACGGACACCATGGACAGTGTCCAGTTCGGTTATGTAAGAATTTCGAAGAGTAAAAAGCCTTCCCAGAGGGAGGATCTGCAAGCTAAGATTCCAAGAATGAGTGGAACCTGGCTAAGGAGAAGGAATGGGAGTTTTAGGCAAGTAGGACACCACGTTCTAAGAATTGGAAGTAAAGGAGAACACAGAGCATACATTAAAATGTAAGTGGGTATTATTATCCCCAAATGAGCTAACCAAGACAGAGAGAAGTTAAATAACTGTAGGTTACACAACACGTGGCAGACCTGGGATTTGAAACCAAGTCTGACCCCAAAGCATTTTTGTTCTTCACTACCACACCCTCTTTCCAACACCTACTTCTAGAACCTGGCTTTTGGGGTTGGCTCACAGGTAGACTAAGTACTGTACAGCGTAAGTATAGACCTGGCTAAGAGGTCTTCAGTTACTTTTCAATAAATCTAGTCACTGATAAATATTCTCTTTTTATGAGTGTTGCATTCTGGATTTTTAGGCAAGATTTCAAATTATAGATCAGCCAACTAGATTTTTGTTTTGGAGAAGCACAAGGTAGAAAGTGTAAGTGAAGGATACTACATCCATAGAAATCAACTAATGAATATCTGTGCCCTAAATTTAACAACACATTCTCATACTTTATAAAATGACAATACCACAATAAATAAGGGAGAAAAATAACCTCTCCAAAGCTCTGAATGGTTACTACAGTATCACCACTTTTGTTTCCAGGAATCAAATTAGCTGTCTTTAAATGCTGGCTTCAAAGGAAGTAATTGATTTTAATGATTTATAAAGACTATTAAGAGCGAGAACCAGTAAAATTCTTGGTATACACAGTAAACTGGGCATACTTGTGCTGGACTCCTGTTTACTTAAGATTCAGGATACAGTATTAGGAAAACCTATTCACAAGGCTCAATAATACAGTTACTGATTCCAAAGAAACAATTCAACCTGACATGTTAAATTCTCTGGGAAGTTCAAATTGTTAGCTATGCATTTGCTGAGTAGATAGATACGAACACAAATGATTGCCGCATTTTAGAGACCTTTCTATTCTGTCAAAAACAAAGTATCATAGAAGTATGGTGAACAAATATGCCTGAGTAATATGTACAGTCCTTATTTGGATGGTTTCTATGCTTCTTTTGCCTTTGTGGAATAGGGCAGTTTGGCTTCCCATTTTTTAGTACCTCTGAAAATACCACTATCTTTTTCTCTTCAGTCTTCCACTGCCTACAGAGAAGTTCAAATCCTTTCTCTATAGCTCTCATCAGCAGTCACTCACACTAGACTCAAAGCAGCAATGTACGGTTTGACATGTGAGCTGCACCTTCCCCAAGTGCTGGCCTCATGTTAAGCAGAAGAGACCCCTTGAATGCGGGCCTGAACCAACTCAACTTTCTAATTGAAGGCAGAGTGCTGATGCTTACTGTACCCTGTTGCCTTATTGAGAAGCCAGCTGCTGTATACATGAAAATGAAAAGATGCCAGAATCTCTGTGACCACCTTAACCTGGGGAGAGGGAATATATAATCATATTTCAGTTTTATTCAGCGTTATTGACCCTAATTTTTAATGCTCTCTGCTTACTTCTTGACCATAGGCATTCTCAAAAATTAGAGACAAACTGTGCACTTACGGGTCTCCTGTGATTTTCCTCTTGCCCTTTGATTGAGGGAATATTTTCTTATAGGACTCAGGGATGAAAGGGTTAATACTGACTCCAGACAATGAAGCAGCCTCATCCATGAGGTAACCAGGTGTGGGCCACAAAGGCTTAGAGCTTCCAGGGAGGACCTTTTTTGTTGAAGAATTCACTTGCTGGCTTGAAAGACTCTGAATAAGAATGACAAAGGCAAGTCAGAATATAGTTAGTTTTTTTACAAAAGTTCCATATCAGGTAGTAGTTAATATTTGAACCAAAGAACATAATTGTTAAAGGGGATATTAAAGATGATCTGGTTCAGTGCAAACTAGTTGAGTTGTAACTGATCCTCTTAGTGAATTCAGCCTTTCAATGTTCTTTTGTTTGTTTTTTGAGACAGGATGTTGCTATGTAGTTCAGGCTGGACTTGAACTCACTACGTAGCCCAGGCTGGGCTCATACTCTTGGTGACCCTCCTTCCTCAGTCTGCCAAGTGCTGGGGTGATAGACGTGCACCACTACATCCAGTTACAGTCTCTAAATAGTCTGATGCACATGGTCAGCACAAGACTCTACTTTAGTTAACTTCCATCCCTTTGCCTGGGCAATTGTTCCAACTAGCTATGAAATTCACCAATATTCATTCTACTTCCAGTTTTTAAAGATGAAAACAAAGTAGTTTTAGACATAAATGATCCTATAAAAGATCTTATCCTTATGTTCTCATAGTTAACACTTTAATTTCTCCTCAATTATTCATCCAAGTATTTGTTTGGTGCCTACTAAGCAGCAGTTACTGTGATAGATATTGAGGGTTACAGAATGAATTGCAGCTCTTGAGGAAAACAGTCCATTAACCAGCAGTTTCCCACCATCTCTGAAAGAAGCCTTTTTGTAAAGGAGAGATTTCATGGACTATCTAAACGTGCAAGGAGAAACTCCCAATTTCACTTGAAATATAACATTAAATGAGAAGATCTTCATGAAGTAGGATAAAGAGATTGAAAAATAGTACTCAAAAGTAATCCCTTAAGATTTGAGGGCTCTGCAGTCACTAACCAGTTAAATGGGAGTGTGGCAGAGTAAGAGGGCATAAGCCTGACCCTAACTAAAGCTAACCCGTAGTGCAAGGGGAAAGGTCATCAGCAAAGAATTCTAAGGCAGCCCCAAGTGTCAAGGCCCAGAGGAATACCTTGACTGTAGATCCAACAAGTATACAGTAGCATACTAGGACTGGTTTAGAACCTCAAGGTGCAAGCACTGCACTGTGAGACTCTATAAAAGAATTCTAAGTCTCTGCCCTGACCCTTCAATGTAGAAGCAGAAACCAGACTACAATATTGCTCAGTAAGAATGTGAGTCTATAAATAGTGGGTTTATAAATATCCAGTAAATGATTGATATAAACAAAAATACAGGAAGCTACCAAGTACATACAGTAACATACTTTTTTTTTTTTTTAAGCGAAGAAAAATGTTAGGCTGAGGATCAGTGGTAGAGTGCTGGCCTAAGGTGTACAAGCGTTTTGCATACATCTGACAGTTTGTAGAGTACATAATCCTGGGGGATTTGGTCAAAGCTCTCACTCACAAACTCATGAGTTTACAGTAAGCTTATCGTGATAATGGCTTGTTGGTTCAAATAAGACCATTCTATACAATGTTTCTCAGTTACCAGTGTGACTCAGAAAATAAACTTAGAATTACAGTAAATAATTCCCTGAAAAATTGTTTTGTAACACTATCATATGGAAAGTAAAATGCATCTATGACAAGAAATGATGGGGTACTCACACCTGGAATGCCGCACACAGTTCTGTGGCCACACTTCAAGGAAAATAAAGACAGTCTATGAAATTTTCACAAAGAAGTAGGCAAACTGTAGTGGACCCTTCACTTACAAATTCGATTGGTTCCTAAGGGCTAGTTGTAACTCAAATTGATTGTAAGTCAGTACAGCTGAGATCTGGATGTTTACCTGGGTATACACTACAGCTAATGAGAGGCAGATGAATCTCCATTAACCTAATTAACCCAAGTTGTTTGTATGTCAGGCCGATTGTAACTTGAGGGTCCACTGTATTCACCTCAGGGAAGACATCAGAATTTCTATTATGGAAATATAAAGCCAGTCAAATTTGTGAGCTTCCCCTGCAATGTGGGGATGGCTGGAAACCCATTAGGAAAAGAAGGTCTGCATGGAAGTGAAGCAGAGGGGACTGTGAGGATGACAGAGGTTGAGAGAATTCTCTAAAGAGAGTCAATAAATCCCTGAGTGACAGCTCTGTGCAGATGATTGAGGGTGATGGGGAAATGTGGGGGACAGCTCCTTGACATCTGAAAATGGTAAGAAAGCAGTAGTCACACAGAAACACATTACAGTAGGGGACTGGGAAAGACTTCAAAGGCCCAGTTGGCACCATTAGTCCCCCGGCACTTCATTCTCTTCTACAGTGTTCAATCAGTGGTCATCAGCGAGTGGTCAATGCATTTAGGCACATGGACCTTACTACCTCTGAAGGATGCTTTTCTATCTCTCATTCTGATAGGAATTCCTTACGGAGAACTGCAGTTAATTTCCCACGATTTCTGGTTCTATCTCTCGGGGAAGGCTGAACCAAGCTAACCCTTTTCCTATATGTCCTTGTCTTCAGCATAGTATCACCAATTTTAACCTTTTCTCCTCCAGTCTCTCCTTATCAAAACTGTTTTCATAAAGTATGAACTTTCTCTGTTGCATTTCCAGCTTCCTTCTCAAGCTCTAGTCACTTTCTATTCTTTGACTCTTGGCATTATCCAGGATGGCGCCACTTCTTTTCTTACTCTGAAATATACATTATGTAACTTGGCTTCAGCAGTTTCCTCAATATGGATCTCTGACTTCAGTTGTTTTCCTATACCTTAGACTTTTTGTTTGTTTTGTTTTGAGACAGGGTCTCAGTAAGTACTATGCAACCTAGGCTGGTATCCAACAGTGATCTTCCTGCCTCGGCCTCCCAAGTGCTGAGATTTACAGGCAGATGCCACCATACCTAGTGGCCCCAGATTTATTTAACAGTTTACACCACATATCTGCTTTTCTCCAAACCTACACATCCTCTGGTGTATCTTAACTTGATTCAAACTAATCTCTATTCTGCCAATCAAACAAGAACTTCTCAGTTATCCCTCCTATTCCCTCCACCCCTCCATCAAGTCAGTTGTAATTCCTGAACCTCTCTCACCTCCACTGTCCACTCCTGTCCTAGTTCTGGACTTCTCTATTTTCAACAGAGCTATTATAAAAACTTCCCAGCTTCCAAACTCTCCCCTAGTCCATTCCATCTCACACATGAAGACCATGATTTTTTTCAGTGTATCTACTCACAGCATGTAACGGCTCTATCAACCCTCTAAGTATAAAATCTTGACCTAGCTCTTGCCTATCTCCCTGGCCTCACTTTCTGTCTCTCAGGCACAGATTCATTATACTAAAAGATAAGCATTTTTACAAGTACAGCACGCTCTTTCCTCATCATAACTTGGAAGATACTTTGCCTTCAGTTCTCATTTTCATTTATTTATTAGGAGCAGTTTCTAAAGGCAGAACAGTAAGTCCCCAAATTACAAATGAGTTCCATTCCAGGAGAATGTTCATAAGTCAGATTCATTTGTAATCCAACAAAGTGAGTCTTATACTGTACACCTGTGAATCTTATACAGTAAATTGTGCAAGTTCGCAACTTGAATGTTCATTAGTCAAGGACTTACTGTAAATGGTTTTTACCAGGGTCTGCTAACACAGCATGGCATTTACCATACCATGCCATGTTGTCTTGCTTGTGTAATCCAATTAGAACCACAGTCTCAGCCCATTCTGCACCACATACTAACACTCTACCAACCTACATTGCCATTTATATGCTTCCTTTACCTGTCTTTATTATCCCACTGATAACCAATCTGCACAGAGAATTCTGACCACTCTTAAAGCACTTATCACAGTATCTGTTAGCCCAACACCCCGCCCCACTTCCAAGTTGTAAACTCTTTGAGGGACTGAGTTACTATGCTCCTTACCCATAATGGATTCTCAGAAAAACTGATGATCAGTTGGTTGGTATTGGGACCTTTGAGAAATCCTGACGGCCACCTGAGCATATTAATTTGACAGTTCAGACAAGAAACTTACTATTTCCTATTAAACATGGTGTGCATGCTCAGCAGGAACTAGAACCCCACTGACAGTGACTGTCTGCAAGCAGGGTCACAGATGTTATTATAATGATCCCAAGTGCCTCAAGCTGATCCAACAGGGAGCAGAGCTCAATACCATCCTAAAGGTCACACACCAAGCCACCAGAGTCTATTAGAAGCAATCCTGCCCAACCTTGGCTTTAATATCCTGAGGGCTGTACAAGAGACCAATCATAGTAAGAGTAAAGGAATACACTATTAGTAACCACTAGCCATCTTCAGTTTCTTGTTTGTTTTTTTTGGTTTGTTTGGGGTTGGGGGTTTTTTTGAGACAGGGTCTCACTCTTATGTAGTTGAGACTGCCCTGGAATTATGTAGCCCAGGCTGGTCTTGAACTCACAGCGATCCTCCTGCCTCAGCCTTCCGAGTGCTGGGATTACAGGAGTGCACCACCATGCCCGGCTTGCCATCTTCAGTTTTTAAAGCAATATCGACAAGTTACTTCTTTGCTCACATATAATCAAAGAGCCTGTTCTCCATTAGCAAAGGAGGGGCAAAGAGTTTCTTTTGGAGGAGAACAGCAGAGCAGAGATATGAGTATGTTCAAACAGCGAATGTGAACATTCTTATATTGGAAAACATTATTAATTACCCAATATAGTCTACTGGCATAATAAAAAGAACAGATTAAACCCAAAATATCAGGTGTCCAGTCCTGTCTCTACCACTGGCAAAGCTATAAGCCAGTTATCTCTTGACTTTCTCCTATATAAAGAGCACAGGTGGACTGGAGATCTTAGTATTTCTTCCAGTTCCAATATTCTTAAACTAAAAACTTTAACCTACCTAAGACTTATTTATAACAACAGCAAATAGTTACTGGCAATGATTTTAAGAAAATTTTTTTCTGATAACTTTAAACTTTCCTTCACTTCTACCAATAAACATATACCTGAGGATAAACACAGCCTGTAGACAATATATGTACACAAAAACTACCGAATACTCTTTCTTCATCCGCTGAGCTAAAGCAGAACAGAGCTGGGTGTGCGCCCCCCTCCCCATGGCTCACTTACTTTGGGAGTGGAGGGGTTGTTATCTTGCTTCAGGCTGCTTCTGCGGGCAGCTGGAGCTGGTGTCCCAGGATACCTGGGACATTGTTGTGGCCCCGGAGTCCTCAGAAGCAAATTTTGACTTTTCTTGTCTTCCTTAGATTTCCCGGGTCCACATATGTTCTTGAGGGGAGTGCTGTGAACCTCCACTTCCCAAGCCTCACCCCTCTTGGGGCTTTGGGCTGGAGTCTTCACAGCCTGACCTTCACTCTTCCTGGGGGTTTGGGGTGGGGTCTTCGCAGCCTGACCTTCACTCTTCCTGGGGGTTTGGGGTGGGATCTTCGCAGCCTGAGATTCCGGGTCCACATATGTTCTTGAGGGGATTGCTGTGACCCTCCACTTCCCAAGCCTCACCCCTCTTGGGGCTTTGGGCTGGAGTCTTCACAGCCTGACCTTCACTCTTCCTGGGGGTTTGGGGTGGGGTCTTTTCAGCCTGACCTTCACTCTTCCTGGGGGTTTGGGGTGGGGTCTTCGCAGCCTGACCTTCACTCTTCCTGGGGGTTTGGGGTGGGGTCTTCGCAGCCTGACCACTCTTCTTGGGACTTTGTCTCAGGGCCTCCTTGCTCTCTTGTGTTGTCTTCTGCCCTTCATTCTCAGACTCTTCTTCACAAAAGGAAATGTTTAATTTCTTATTTGGTTCTTTGTTAACACCTTTGTCATCCATTTCAGTGAAGGTGATTATCATGTAGCAAAGAGATCTCTCAGAAGGGAACAATGAACGTACAGACAGGAGAAAAGAACTGAAAGCAACAAGTTCCACAACTTCAGCTTGCCTTTTTCTCTACCAGTTAACAGCTGCATGATACACTCTTAATTTCTCCCTTAAATACCACAAATCAGTAAGACCTCAGCTTATCCTTATTTCCATTCTGATTAAAGAAAGCTCCAGTAACTCACTGAACAATTAAATCAGTTCCCTCACAGAATTCTCTTCAGAGTGTCCCCGCACCTATGTGCTGCAAAAATTGCTAGTGAGATAGTTGAATTCCTTTAATGTAGCATGGATTTAAAAATATCCATTAACCACTATGGGAACAAACTCATGGAAAAGAAATCATTTGCACCCTATTACACCTGCCACGTATAAATATCACCCTGTCCTCCCTTCCATTCTCTACTCACCCAGAGACAACTGCAGGTCATTAGAATTGAGTACCACCTGGCCATCATAATGCTCCTTAATCTCTGACATCTTGGCTGGAATTCCTATCCCTGATGGGGACACACCCTTAGACCTTTGCTATATATTTCTGCCTTAATTCAGGAATCCTCCCACTCCCTGGTTTTGCAGTTAAAACTTTTAGAGAATTAAACAACAACAAAAAAAATTTTTTTTGGAGCCAGGGTCTCACTGTCTAGTTCAGGCTGATCTTGAACTCACTATGTAGTCCAGGCTGACTTCAAACTAATGTCAGTCCTCCTGCCTCAGCCTCCTAAATGCTGGGATTACAGACATGAACTATCACACCCGGTGAAATTGAACAAAATTTTAAACTGACAAAAAAATAAAAGGCTAGAAACATCAGCAGTGCACAGAATTGGATGTTGGCCACTCTAAAATGGCAATTGCTTTTGCAAAAAAAAAAAAAGCCTTATTTAAATTTTTAAAATTTTATGTAACTTTAATATATATTATTTAATTTCTTTCTCAGAGGCCCCTATGGGAAGGGTAAAAAAACCTCTGAAACTTAAATAGAAATGGTACATTGTATACCCAAAGGAAGTGAAACCAGCATCTGAGAGAGGTGTGTATACCCCATGTTCACTCCAGCACTATTCAGCATAGCTAGGAAATGGTACAACTCAGTGTCCACTGATGGATGAGTAGGTTTCTTTAAATGTATTACACGAGTAGAATGAAATATTATTCAGTCACAAACAAGAGGACATCCTGCCATGTTACAACAAGGATGAAGCTGGAGGACATTACACTAAGAGAAAGAAGTCAGACACAGAAAGATCAGTGTTGCACTACCAGCTCACTAATAACGTCAAGCTCACAGAGGCAGAAAATAGAATGGTGGAGGCCAGGGACCATTGAACAAAGGCTACAAACTTTCAACTGTAAGATATGTATTATCTTATAGGAGGAAACCATGTGAAAGACAGTCTGTGGAAAAGAATCTGGAGGGACCTGGCATGAGAAACTATTTATCTGTCGAACACAGAGAGAGGAAGTGAGGAGACAGGAAGAGAGTGAGGAACCAAGCAGCTTGAAGAGCTTGAAACAAATATTCTTTTTCTTTGTAGTCTTCGGTTTACCTATGCTTGTCACCACTTTCTATCCATTTTCTGTGTCACCAACCCCTTCACCACTTTCCCCTATTCCTTTCCAGCCAGAGCTCCTGAAAGAGGCAACCTGAATGAAGACTGAGGAGATAAGAGATTGTTTTCTTGGTTTTGTGTTTGGGGGGGGTGTTTGTTCAGCTAAAATTCTTTTCATGCTCCACCTCTGTAAGTAGGCTCAGCTGTGAGATCTTCACTGCCCCTTCCCCCTCTTCCTCTCCCCCGCTCTCAATTCCCTTTCCCCATTTTCATTCTTGTTATTAATCTTAGCTCATGCTTATGACATAAAATATTTCCATTCATCGAGGTACTGGGTTCCTGTACATGGCATATCTTTATGCTATTTATTTCCTCTTCCTCTCTCCCTTTCCTCTCACCCTCAGTCTCCAGGACCCCTTCCCATTTCCAAGACATCTAACCCGTCTCCCATCCATCCTTTATTGTGCTCTTTGTTAGGACTTTTCCTTACTCGAGGGTAATATATTTGTATCATGCTTACACTTGTTAAAAGTTTAACATCCCCCAGGGGCCAAGAAAAGGAATTATCAAAGGAAAAGTAAGACTTGCAGGTTACCAGTAAAAAGATTATCAACTAAAATTTGGGGCCCAGAAATAAAGTGGGGTTTTGGTGGTGTTTGTTTCACAGATCAGGGATAAGTAATAGGATTCTTTTCCTCTAGCCTTGGTTCTGATCAGTTTCCCACTCGTATTTTATAGCTTGTCATCCCTGCCTCTCCTGTTCAGTGAGGGACTGGCTTTGCTCTCAACAGAGTAGGATCTGTCCTGAAATACTGACTGTATCATGAGCCTGGAAGCAGGGTTCAGGGGCTGATTGACTAAGTGTTACCCAGGCAGACCAGGCTATCTTTTTTTACCCTCACTCCCTGCCTTTCCTTTCTTGCTTGCAGTATTTCTTGGTTAGTCATGTGTGTGGCTACCTTGTTTCCCTAGGGAGGAACTGTGTCAATGCTATGGTTTAGATCTTGTGTTATCAGCAGTAATTCTATTGGAAACTCACACCACTCACTTTTCTGTGTATTGTCACTTTGGATAATGAGATAATGACTATGGCCAGGGCTTTAGGATAAGAAAGGTAAATAACAAATATGGAGCAGATAGTCTGGGTGTGGAAAATACAACAATGAGTATTGGGCAGTTGCTGATTTTGATGACCCAAGGGAGTCCAGCTTCACCATTTTGGCTGTTATACTTTACTCTTTTCTTCATTCTTAGCCTCTTCGCATTTTGGAAAATTTCATCTCTTCTTCAGTACATGTTAAAACCACAGGCAGGCATCCTAGGCATAAGGTTCCCATTGTAGATGAGATGATATATTAACTGGGAGCCCATGTAATTTGTCACAATTGTAGCAAGAGGGGAAGTTTTGTCCACTAATGCCTGATACAAAGTGGATTTCAATAAATCATTTGTGGGTGGATTTGGGAAGATAAATTTAAAATATCTCAGTTTTGTCCAAAATATTCAGAATTCGGCCTTTTTTTTTTAAAGAGTCTTAATGCTTTGCTTATTATAAAGGAGTTGCTGCAGTGGGAGGTGGGTGGGGGCAAAGATCTCCAAGGTGAGATGTGTAAGAAGAGAGCCAACCTCGCATCTTGGGTCCCATATGAGTCTTTATATCATGTACTTCAGAGAAGCTCACCTCTTGCAGACACTGGCCAGTAATGAGGGAGTTCCCAGACTCCACTCTGTCCAAACCTTTGTTTTGAGGCCTTAGAGACAAGGCAGGAAGGACAAAAGCAGAAAAATCTACTTATTCCAAGTGATTTCACAGCAGGTGGAAACTTGTATTCACCCTTGGGGAAGACTGTTTCTTTGCAAAAATATAAAACTAAAGTCAAAGGAGACAAGATACTCATTTGAGAGTCTGTCACTCCAAGGAAGGACATGCTGGCCTGAACGTATTCTTAGGAGATATAGCTGTTAAAAAAAAAAAAACTTGAATGGGATAAAGTGAAGTTCAATCACATTAGGAAAGAATTAAGACTGAGACATTCAGAATCTGAAAAATTAGAGATGCTGTATTATATGTTTGATGGGGCTGCCCCATTGGAAACCACTTCGTACTGTATATCAGTATAAACACTAAGTAGATTAAGAAATTAAATGGACAGAGAAACCATATATTTGAAAACATAATTAGATTAAATCACCAAACATAAACATAAAACAATCAAGAACCTTAAAAATGTGAGTGCACTTTAAATTGGTAGTGCCAACAGCAAAATCAAAAGTCAGCAGCTTGCATGGCCTATTGCATTTGCCTTGCCTGGCTCCCCTCATTCCACATTTCACTTCTGGGCTGGTAGCTGCTTTCCCTGCTAGGCTGTGAGCCTGATGTGAAGGGACATCTCTTCTTCGTCATCCCAATGCTACATGCAAAACTTAAGGTCATTAGGGTTAGCAAGAATGAAATGGTCAAAACTTTAGTCACAACATCAACAACAAAAACCCAAAGACTTAACTATCCAACAGTGACAGATGTTTATGTAAACTCAACATCCATCTAATGAAAACCATAAAGATGAAAGATGATGCACATAAACATTTTCTAGGATGACAAAATGTTCACATTCTGACATTAATGGAAAAAGAACACAAATTTGACATACATGACTTGTTTGTAAGCAGGAAAAAGAAAACCACCTAATCTACCATGTTTTAAGATACACTATTACATTTACATGCCACTAAGAATAAAAATTGTCCAAGATGAAAACTCCAATCTTATATCCCATATAAAACAGTGGCACCTCCCACACAGAGAGGCCACATAAGAAAACTGGTCTTGTATCAATTTTGTCACTAGTAGGAGGGGAAAAAAATGTTGCCACCAACTTGAACTACAAGCCAGTGTTCACATTTGAATTCATAGTACCAGCATTGCCCAAAGAATATCAAGCAATTTAGTCAAAATAGCTTCAGCTTGGTGATTCTTCCAGACGGCTGATAAAGGCAACCCAAAATCTCTGTTGGAACTAGACCTAACCACAAGTGACCATAACAATGTTAAAGACTGGAAGGTTTTGCATCTTAGAATTGATGAACTAAAATAAGGAAAATTTTAATAGCAGTCATCTGAGGGTTAAGATTATAAATCAAAAATACTTTTCTGCTCTTAGTTTATATAATGCAGATGTTTTTAGTATTTTAGAAAGTAAAATAAATTTATTTTAAAATTCAGACATGCCATGTTCTAGGTGAACTCATTTTGAAATATTACATCATCCTAGGGTCTCCAAATGTGTTCACCTTTCCTCCCTTCTTGGCCTCCATACTTGCTCCTCAGTAGAGGGGTTCCAGTACCTAAATTCAATTCATTTCTTTGCTATAATGTTGTGAAATTCTGTAGACACAGAAGATAAATTTGGATGTCAGGAG